ATTTGTTTAACTGAGATAGATGTGCCTTGTGTTGGGTTTACATAATCATAGAAAAGTGAAGTTAGGGTCAGATTTAATTTAGATGATGTGAATGGCTAAGATTGACTTTATTAGACTTAATTTATTTTTTTTAATTTCCCTAGTTAGACATGGAGCAGTGGGTTAAAAACAACAGCAATAAACAACTTAATGAAACAATGGAAGATTTCTATCCCTAATAATCAAATTACATGACATTTGACAGATGGAAGCAAAACTTTTAATTTAGGTAGCCTGTCAGATAGGGTGTGTACGAGGTCAGGGAGTAATGATTGACTGTTGTGGAGCATGAAAAGCCATAGAAATCTACATCTGTTGGGGAATGAAAAAATACAGTGACTCTACCACTAGCATTTGCTGTCAAGGGCATTTACTTTACAAATAGGCCCAAAACGGAGCATCGAATTTGCTGAATTTTTTGCATTTACCATATTTAACAGCATACTTGAAATTAATCCTGGACTTCCATCCATCAAGTTGAGGGACAAGAGTGAAAATTTAAACATTTCAATGGGAATTTTCCTTTTAACTACCTGGTAAATACTTAATTGAATTAAAGTATTTTCTTGTAACTACTATATGAACTGGATACATACTTCTAGAGCCACTCTGAGTTTCTTTCCTTCTTCTAACTAATGCTTTAAAAGTTATTTATGTTGGACTTATTGAATGATTTTGGTGGAGGCTCTCTCCTACAGAAATCTCTTTTGGGTTGTTGTAATTTCTTCACATAATGCTTACATAGTGTTTAGTCTTAGCCTTAAAGACAAAGTGCATTAACAAGAAGCCGGCTAGTGGAGTCTTAGGGTGTGGACTGCATGTGTAAGCCAAAACAAGATGAAGGCTCGTTGTTGTTCATATGGCTTTTAGGTCTTTTAAAAAAGCTGTTAAAACAGAAGTGTTCCATGGGTTTACACTGATGTATCTCCAAACATGAAATAGTGAATTCAGTTTCGTTTTATTCTACCTGGGTTTCATTTTCATTTTTGTTTTGTTTTGTGTGTATGTGTGTGTTTGACCTCAAGGCTTATTTTGTACCCTTAGCTTTTAGTATGTCTTATACCGGCTTCAGTATGTCTTCTTGGAGCACTTTTTAAGTATCAGGCACTGTTTCACTGAAATATTCTAAATAAGATGAGCAAGGTTCAGATAGTTCATGAGAACTTATTTAAATGAATAATGTGTTCTGGTCACCACAAGAGGAATTATAATACCAAAATCAATGGTAAAATAAAGAAAAGCAATTTAATATGAATAGGAAATAAATGAAAAAGGAATTAAATTTCCATATTCTAGGCTCCCGGATATTTTACTGTTTTTTCCCCCTCATTGCATAGAAAGACAGCAATAAAGAGATCTTACAGATGTTCCACAGCAAACGGCTTCATGAGTTTATTTCTCCTAATCCTATTAAGATGCTGAACTGATCATTCATTGGTTAAAATCTTAGTGATGCTGTAAGATTGAAAAAATAGGGATGCCTGGGTGGCTCAGTCGGTTAAGTGTCTGCCTTCGGCTCCGGTCATGATCCCAGGGGCTCAGGTCATGATCCCAGGGTCCTGGGATCAAGTCCTGCATGGGGCTCTCTGCTCAGCGGGAAGTGTGCTTCTCTCTCTGCTTGTGTGTCTTCTCCCTCTTCCTCTCTTCTGACAAATAAATAAATAAAATCTTAAAAAAATATATCACAGCTTTAGCTCTCAGCTTCATAAGACTTGTGGTTTTCCCAACTTTTTCTTATCCTTGGCTTTCAAACTTCACTTATATATATATATATATATATATATATATATATATATATATATATATTATATATATGTGTGTGTGTGTGTGTGTAATCATTTTGCACTTGGTGGCTCTCTGCACAAAATATGCTGGCATATTCCAAGAGTTTATGAACATAAGCAGTGGATGACATCTTCAAAGCCTAGTGAACCAACAGATATTTATGTAGTCTTGGCTTTGCTGCATCAGACCCCTGATGAAGTGACAGGATGTCCTCTGTAGAGGTAATGCACTACGTTAGTGCCGTAGGAACTTGAATCAGTCAACATTGTATAAAGGTAACATTAATTCAGCATTTACCGTGTAGTCAGCTCCGTGCTTAGTGCTGTTCACTGTCTTAGGTATCTACATAGCAGTCCTCTGATGTAGGTACAGTACTGTTTTCCCTCTTTTAAAGGGGTGCCATTGGCACAAATGAGTTAGGTCATTTGTTAAAAGTCACAAACGTTGGGGCTCCTGGGTGGCTCAGTCGGTTGGGCATCTGACCTCAGCTCAGGTTTTGTTTTTTTTTTGTTTTTTTTTTTTTAATTTAATTTAATTTTATTTTTTTTTTTAAAGATTTTATTTATTTATTTGACAGAGAGAGATCACAAGTAGACAGAGAGGCAGGCAGAGAGAGAGAGAGAGAGGGAAGCAGGCTCCCTGCTGAGCAGAGAGCCCGATGCGGGACTCGATCCCAGGACCCTGAGATCATGACCTGAGCCGAAGGCAGCGGCCCAACCCACTGAGCCACCCAGGCGCCCTTCAGCTCAGGTTTTGATCTTGGGGTCCTGGGATCGAGCCCCACGTCCAGTTCTGTGCTCAGCGTGGAGTCTACTTATCCCTCTCTCTCTCCCTCTGCCCCCCCATCCCGCTTTCTTTTTCAAATAAATAAAATGTTTTACAAAAAGTTACAAATGTAGTCAAATAAAGAGTAGACGTGGGATTTTAAAAAGTTAATACAAATAATGTCCTTCATTTGCTTTTTCCACTCAGCAGTATAGACAATATTCCCATGTGCTTTTACGGATCTACCTAAATTTTTCTAACGATTGTGGAGTATTTCCTAGTATCGGTGTATCATAATGTATGTGGCCATTCCATTCCCATTTGGTAGACCTATGGGTTGTCTCTGGTTTCTCACCATTAACGATAATACTGCCGCAAGCATCACTGTTATGAAGCCGCCCACACATGTGTTTTGTATGAAAGATTTTCACTACCAGAATTACTGCTCAAAGAATTTGTGTCTTTTAAATCTTTGTAAGTGAAAATTTTTCATTAAATTCTTCTCCAGAAAGGTAGTACCAGTCTGTACTCCGAAGTTCTCCCATTCGTCCACCTTCCTTGCCAACACTGGACTTTTTTAGTTTAAAAAAATTTTACCAGTCTGCGGGGCACCTGGGTGGCTCAGTGGGTTAAAGCCTCTGCCTTCGGCTCAGGTCATGATCTCAGGGTCCTGGGATTGAGCCCCACATTGGGCTCTCTGCTTGGCAGGGAGCCTGCTTCCTCCTCTCTCTCTGCCTGCCTCTCTGCCGACTTGTGATTCTCTCTGTCAAATAAATAAATAAAACCTTTAAAAAAATAAATAAAATAAAAAAATTTTACCAGTCTGAAAGGTGAAAAAGTCATATATAATTAAAAATTGCTTTCCTCTTCCTAATGAGATTGAACACATTTTTATAAGCTTTAACTCTGATTTTTTTTAATGTGGATCAGTTACCTATTTTGCCCATTTTTTCTTTTTTGTTGTTGAATTATAGGAGCCTGTATATGGAAATGAACCCATTATATGTTGCTAATATTTTCACCAATCTCCATTGTCTTGTTTATTTTTAGTAAAGTATAATTGACAAATAATATTCTGCTAGTTTCAGGTGTACAACGTAACAATTCAATATTTGTATACCTTGCAAAATGATCACCAAAATAAGTCTAGTTAATATCCACTACCATACATAGTTTAAAAAAAAAAATCTGTTTTCTTATGATGAGAATTTCTGAGATACACTCTCTTACCTTTGAGTTTTATTTATGGTGTCTTTTGGCATGTAGAAGTTTTATGTTTGCCTGTTTTCTTTGCTGTCTTTCCCTTATGCTTTCTCTATTTGGGTCCAGAGTGATCTTTTTTAAAACACAGATTTGATAATTTCCTTTCTATGCTTAAAAAAACCCTCAGTGGCTTCCCATTGAGAGTCAGTAAAATACTTGCTTGAGGACATGGGATATAGACACTTTGCTTGGTTTGAAAACTGGTTCTCTTACTTCCTTGCTGTGGAGCCCTGGGAAGGTCAAGTCCTTGACAGGATGGGGAGGAACTGCAAGTAGGAATGAAGTATTTTTTTCCAAGGTAATGGAAATATTATAAAACTGGATATAGTGGTAGTTACACAGCTCCGTAAATTTACTCAAACCTGTGGAATCACATGCTTTTTAAAGTGGGAAATTATGGTATGTGATTATAATAAAGCTGTTTTAAAAAGTAAATGGGTTCTGGGTTGCCTGGGTGGCTCAGTTGGCTAAGTGGCTGCATTTGGCTTAGGTCATGAGTCCAGGGTCCTGGGACCGAGCCCTGCTTCGGACTGCCTGCTCAGTGGAGAGCCTGCTTCTCCCTCTCCCTCTGCCTACGTGTGCTTTCCTCTCTGTCAAAAAAATAAAATCTTTTAAAAAATAAAAATAAAAATAAATGGGTTCCAAGCTTATTTTGGAGAGGTTCCCTTTATAACTGTAACTGTAGACTAATGTAGTTGATACTTTTTGGTTCTGCATAGTAGCCTAGATAAATGGACTGAAAAACTAGATAAAATAATATATCCTTAATCTTATTCATTGGATAAGACAGAGCATTGAAAGCTACCTTTTTCCTTCAGGAATTCATTAGGAATTAGAGTTTTTGTGGGTAGGAGTCATGGTGCTAAGGGTTAAAGAGTGATTCATATACGTGTTAGTGTGTTGTGATTTTTAGATATCAAGATCTTGATAGTGCTGTCTTTGCATATACAGACAGACACACACACTCTCACATTTACATACACAGTCTCCAAAATTAGGAAAGATTCCCATTTTTTCTTTCATCCCCTCTATTCTGCCAGTGTGTGTCTGTTTCATGCGCCCTCCCCATTCACTGGAGTGCCAGGTCTTATGAATGAGTAAACTACACTTGGGTTTCAGGCTTTTGTGTGTTCTTTTTGACTTTCCAGCACTTTCATTTGGACCCTTGGATGCCCACTGAGCAGATGCTTGAGACCTACGAGTAATCTTCAGATCAGAGCGGAACCATAAGGCCTGTCCTTTGCGTGGGGAGGAGACAGCCCATGTTGTGTGGAAATGAACGGGGAGCAGCAGCTGGATGCAGGTATTGGTTTTGCTGAAGAGAATTCATTTTTCATAGTGCAGGATTCTCTTACTTACCTGTGTTGTCCGACTAGTCTTTCTGCCACTGAACGGGAAGCTCTTTGAAGATGTGAGTTCTTTCTCTGTCCCTAGCAGAGAACCTGGCACTAGGGGGTACTCATAATGTTTGCTGAAAAGGCAAGTAACTTTTTTGAGCAGATATTTTAAAAAAATTTAATTTTGATAGTTATTTTGAATGATTTTTGAAATAATTACAGATTCATGAGAAGTTGCAAAGAGGGTACTAACAGGTCCTTGTGTACCCCTCACCCATTTCTACCATTAGTTACATCTCCTGTAAGTGTAGTACAATATAAAAGCCATGAAATTGACCTATGTACAAAGTATATGTAGTTCTCTGTCATTTTATCACATGTAGCTTCCCCTAACCATGACCTCAGTCAAGATACAGAACTGTTCCATTACCACAAAGAGTTCTTCTCTACTACACCCGTCATCCACTCCCTGCTTTCCCCCAGCTTTCTCTTGCCCCAGGCACCTTGTTACTCTTCTCTCCATCTCTGTGTCATTTCAAGAATGTTATATAAATAGGATTACATAGTATGTGGCTTTTTGAGATTTGCTTTTTTCACTCAAGATAATGCCCTTGAGAGCTATCCAAATTCATGCATGTTATCAGTAGTTCCCTTTTATTGCTCAGTAATATTCCATGGGTGTACTACAGTTTGATTAACTATTCATCTACTGTAGTACATTTTCGTTGCTTCCGGGTTTTAGCAATTACAAATAGAGCTGCTGTGAGCAATCATGTACATTAAGATTTCATTTTTCTGGGGTAAATGCCCAGGAGCACAATTGCTGGATCATATGTTTAATAATGAAACAGCCCAGCTGCTTTCCAGAGTGGCTGTACATTCTTACCAGCAATGGATTAGAGATCTGGTTTCTTTACATCCCCTCTGGCATTTGGTTTTCAATTCATTTTGATTTGTATATAGTGTTGTTGAATGTATCTTTTTCTATGGCTGTTTAGTGGTTGCCCTAGGTATAACACAATATATACATAACTTAGCATACTTTGCTGGTGTCATCATTTTATTAATTTGAGCCAGGTGTGGAAACTTTACCTCTACAGACTTTGAGAACCACATCAGACACTGTTAAAATTTTGCCTCAACTGTCGAACATAAAGTCAAAAGGAGGAGGAAAATGTATTTTATTTTCCAATATTTGTACTCTTCAAATTGTCCCTTGTTCCTTCCTGATTTTCTAAGATTCCTTCTGTCATTCCATTTCTATTTATGGAATTTTTTTTTTTTTTTAGCCATTTTTTTTTAGGGTTGATCTGCTAGTGATAAAATATTTTACCTTCCTATGACAGTGCCTTAATTTCCCTATTTATTATTGAAGGATATTTTTGCTGGAAATGGAATTCTGGGTAGAAAATTCTTTTCTCTCATCTCTTGAGAAGTCCTGTGCTTTCTGGCCTCTGTGGTTTCGGATGAGAAATCTGCTGTCATTGGAACCCCCTATCCTCCAGTCACCCTAAGAGAGGTGTAGTTTCTCTTGCTGCTGTTAAGATTTTTTTCTTTGTCTTTAGTTTTCAGAAGTTTGACTTTTGGTGTATCTTTGCACATATTTCCTTGGGTTTATCTTGTTTGGAGTTTTCTTAGTTTCTTGAAATTATGGTTTTTGCCAAAATTGGAAAAATTTCACCTGTTATTTCTTCAAATACTTTTTCAGCCCTGTCCTCATTCTCTTTTTCTGGGATTCTGCTGGCACTAGGGTTAGATCTTATATTGCTATTCCATACTCTTTTCATTTTTTTCTTTTCTCTGTCTTTAATTTTAGTCATTCTTCCCTCTGTCCTTCTTATTCTGCTGAGGGGCTTACTATGGAGTTTCCTTGTGGTTATTGTATTCTCAATAACAAAATTTCTATTTTGAGCTGAAGAGGGATGAGGAATGGGAATGGCCCCAACTTAAGCCACAACCCGGCTCCTCCTACCAGGCCTAGGAGCTTGTCTTGAGTAGTTAACCTTTCAGTTTGTTGTGTTCCATCAGCTAATTTTGCAACTTTGAAATAGTTGATTTTCATCATTTTTAGCCAGTGATTTGCTACTTTTCTGGGAGACTGGGTTCACTGAAGTACTTATTCTGCCATTTAGGAAATTGATCAGTGTTTTGTTTTAAATGTTATTGTTAATGCATGGATATAAAGTGCATGCATGTGTGTGCACAAACACACACGTACACACATACGCACGAATGTGATGAGTTTGATTCCATTGGTGTCATCCTTCGTTTGATGATCAGACTGCCCCGTTCTAGAGCAGTGAGTGATCTTTCAGATTGGTTCCTGTGTTCTTTTGGTGTGATGTCATGTGTCTTTGATAGTTAAGTCCTTGCTTTCTAATGTAGTAAGAGTCCCAGGTAGCTCTTGCACATTTTTGCCCCAAACTTAACAATCTACCATTTCTCAGGGAAACTGTGTTTTTTATTTTTGGACAATGGATATAATATTTAGAGACCATAGTCTGGGTGCTGGGGTGCTCATTGATACTAGGTTGTCATTTCTTATAAGGCCTTATCCATAGACATAGCTAGAAACTACACGTCTTTTAAAGAGAAAAGAATCAGATGGCTTCATTTTATAGTCACAGTTTTAATTTAAAGTTGCAGGGCTTTTACTTCTTTGATTTTATGCTTGTGTCTCTCTCTCTTTTTTTTTTTTTTTGGAATTGTGTTGTTTCATAATGATGTTAACATCATCACTTATTTACCCTGTAATATTTCTATAATTTTTTCAGTAATACCAACATTTCGAGTATAACAGATAACAGTGTGAGGTTTAAAATTTCTTTATGGTTTTTGCCTTAAAATATATTCCACTGGGGTTTGCAGTCAGACATTGTATTTTTTTTTTTTAAAGATTTATTTATTTATTTATTTGACAGACAGAGATTACAAGTAGGCAGAGAGGCAGGCAGAGAGAGGAGGAAGCAGACTCCCTGAGCAGAGAGCCCAATGCGGGGCTCGATCCCAGGACCCCGAGATCATGACCTGAGCCGAAGGCAGAGGCTTTAACCCACTGAGCCACCCAGGTGCCCCAAGATATTGTATTTTAATATGACATAAAGTAATCCTGTTTTCCTTGTGGTTATTTCACCAACAATTAGGTATTTTTGTTTCAGTTCATTTTTAGTTGGAATTTTTTTCTTTTGATTTAAATATGTTTCTAAAATTTTATAAAGTATCTACATAGTGATAAAGTTAAAATTATGTAACACCATCCCCATTTTCAATCTGATACTGTTCACCCTTTTTATTTTTCCCTATATATACCATTGGTTTTTATTATTTGACTCTTCTGTTCATTTAAAAATTATAAACATGTATATATGTGAGTATATACGTAACATATATTCATATTCATATTTCTTAGTTACTGGAGATTGTCCCACAGGAGTATGTAGTAATCTTTCTCCCCTTTTTACAGCTATATGGATATATATACCATATTTTATTCAGCCACTTCCTTACTGATGGACATTTGGGTTGTTTCCAATCTTAGTGTTACAAATAGTGCTGCAATGAATAGCTTTGTACATATGTCTTTTTGTATTTTTGCCAGCATATCTTTGGGATAGAGTCCTAGAAGTGGGATTGCTGGATCAAAAGGTAAATACATATGTATTTTGCTAGATATTGCCAAGTTCTCTTTCACCAGGTTTGTGTCATTGTGCTTTACCTGCTTAAGCACAGCCTTACCATAGAGTATGTTGTCAAACTTTGGGATTTTATTTCCAATCTGATACCTTAGTGCTTTTCCAATTTACATTTCTTTTCTTTTCTTTTCTTTTTTTTTTTTAAAAAGACTTTATTTATTTAACAGAGAGACGGAGAGAGAGGGAATATAAGCAGGGGGAGTGGGAGAGAGAGAAGCAGGCTTCCTGCTGAGCGGGGCGATGGTTGGGGGGGAAGCGTTTGATCCCAGGACCCTGGGATCACCACCTGAGCCCAAGGGAAGGCAGACACTTACGGACTGAGTCACCCAGGTGCCCCTCTAATTTACATTTCTTTTAAAATGAGTAAATTTCCACATGTTTCCATATGTTTAAGGATGACTTGCATTTCTTTTTGATAAATTCTCTTTTCATATATTTTGGTCATTTTTCTACCAGATTATTAGTTTGTTTCTTCTTGGCTTATTAGTAGTTTTTAATTTATGAGGGTTTAGTTCTATAATTCATTATTTATAATGTTGCGTTGATTTTTTATTTGTAAGTTAGCATGCTGTTTGAGGGAGAAGGTTCCTCCTAGCTAAGGACCATGAGTGTTCGGCCTTATTATGGTTTGGTAATGAAAATTGACTTTCTACTAACCCATACTTCCAGGATGCTCCCAATTTAGTCTTTGTTGGCTTGTTACATTTCTGGTGAAAAATTTCAAAACAATTAAAAACAAATGGAAAATAATATAACAAACACACATGGATAAAAATGAGTGGAAAACAATATAACAAACACTGGTGTTACCTACTGTGAAGAATTAATGTTATCATTGTACAATATTTGTTCCCATTTTTTTCATCCCATAAAATATCCTTAACACAAAGTCTGCCATTTTAACCATCTTGAGGTGTACAGTTCAGAGCATGAAGTACATTCACATTGTTGTACAACCATCACTACGGGGATCTCCGCACTTTTTCATCCTCCCAGACTGAAGCTCTGTACCTGTTACACAACAGTAACTCCCCATCTCCCTTTCTCAGGCCTTGGGAGCCACCGTTCTCTTTTCTGTTTCTCTGGATGTGGCTGCTGTAGCTCTTGCATGGAAGTGGAATCATAGAGGATCTGTCCTTTTGCAAGTGGCTTACTTAGCGTCATGTCCATGTTCATCTGTGTTGTCATGTGTGCCAAGATTTCCTTCCTTTTTAAAGCTGAGTAATGTTCCATTGTATGTATGTAAGCTGAGTAATGTTCCATTGTATGTATGTACCACCTTTTATTTATCCGTTTATCTATTTATGGATACTTAGGTAGCTTCTACCTTTTGGCGCCTATGACTCTTACTGCTACGAACCTTTGTGTACAAACATCTGAGTCCCTGCTTTCAATTCTTTGGGGTAGGTACCCAGAAGTGGAATTGCTAGGTCATAGGGTGATTGTACTTTTAATTGTTTGAGAAACCACCATATAGTTTTCTACAGTGGCCGCACCATCTTCCATTCCCAGACCAGCAGTGCACAAAGATTCCAGTTTTTCACATCCTTGTCAACACTTGTTTTTTGCTTTGGTTATTCTAGGGGGTGTGAGGTATGTCTCATTGTGGTTTTGATTTGCATTTACCTTACAATGTTAAACATGTTTTCATGTGTTGTTCCCCCCGCCTTTTCTTTTTGAAAGAAAAATTTCAGCCTCTTTTGTACTTCCCTTCTAATCCTGTTTTCTCCTCTCATCGCCAAAGGTAGCACTGTTGAAATCGATGTATAGTCTTCCCACCTTTGTTTCTTATACTCTTATTAATATGCATGCATTTATAAAGAGATACTGCGAAGTTTCCTTTGAAGTCTAAACTGTATCTTGTGCTTTTCATTCTGCACCTGCTGTTTTTATTCGATGTGGGGTTTTATTTGAGATTTTTCTATGTCAAAACTAGTTCATTCATTTCATCTGCTATACAGTACTACTCTGCTGTAGAACTGCCGTAATCTGTCTCTTCTCCTACTGATTGCTTTTGTCTGGTGCTGTTACACACAGTGCTGTGGTGAGCATCCTTGTACTTGCCTCCTTGTGTTTGTCTGAAGCTCAGGCTCCCCTAGGGTGCACTCATTCAGCCCCTGTTCATTGTGAACTCTAGTGGCAGGCGTTGTTTTGGGCAATGGGAATACATCAGGAAACAAAACCCTGCTCTTAGAGAATTTATGTAAATTGGGATTATTGGATTCTGGAATATTTGAATCTTTGCCTACTCAACAAAAAATTTATTGAGTTTGCTGTGACAGAGATATAGGAGTAACCAACACAAAGTCCTGTCTTGACAGAGTTTATTTTCTAATGGGGGGGATAAAAAGATGTATGGTGCACTGTCGAGTAGAAATGAATGCCTTTAAGATAATGAAACTAGAGTCTGGGTTTTCTGCATTAGATAAGTACTGATGGAAAGCCTTTCTGGAGAGAGGATGTTCAAGGGGAGGCTTGAATGAAATGAAGCCAGGAATGACACTGGGGAATGAGTCTTTGAGCTGAGGAAATAAACGCAGAGGAGACTTTGAGGAAAGAACGTGATTAGAGAATAGTAAGAATCCCAGGGTCACTTGAGTGCAGGGAGCAAAGAGGCTGGTTGGGGATGAAGTGGCAAGGAAGGTAGCCAGAGGTCAGACCTTGTTGGGCCTTTGCACTCTCCCAAAGAGTTCAGATTTTATTATAATTGGGATTAAAAGGTGAAATATATAGTGGTTAGGTCTTGGGCTAGAGAAAGAGAGCAAGAGAAATGATGGGAAGTGGTTAGATTTAGGATATATTTTAAAGGTGGTACCTATAGAATTTTCTGATGGTTTTGATGTAAGATGTGAAAGAAAAGTTGGAAAGCAAGGATAACTCGACATTTTTGGGTTGAGCCAAAATACAGATTGGTGGTGTCTTTTACTCAATTGGAGAGTACTAAGGAAGAATCAGGTTGAAAATTCAAGTTTGAAATGCCTATTAGGTATGTCAAGTAGTTGGCATTAGATATTAAATGGTAGTCCAGAGTGACTGTAATCGTTACACTCTCACCAGCTTTATATAATGCATTTGAGTGAGTTCCTGATGGATTCCAGCAGGAGACAACATGTCACACTTCCGTGCTGTTGAGATTCATCGATAATCAATGCAGTATGGGAGCCCGCCATTTAAAAAGAGCACGTGAATATTTTGTGTGTGAAATCAATTAACTTGTGAAGTAAATTGTGTAAGTTAGGGTTGCTAAGTTTATGTTTTTATACCTTGAGTTTTCTTTAATTGGGGCTCATCTGTTTCCTTTTGTTTTGATTTTAATTCCAGATGCTGGATCTGGTGTGGAAGAAGTGGAATTAAGCTGGGAAGATTATCTAGAAGAGACCGGGTCCACTGCAGTTCCCTATGGATCGTTTAAACATGTAAGCAGTGACTGTATTTGTTTTACTGACTGTATCCCATTCCTTTGTCCCATGGTACCATTATTAGAGAGTTTAGAGTTATTTTACGTTGGAGCACTTGAAAGGATTTGAGTGCTTTTTCCTTCTCCTGCCCCCTTCATTAAGAAAACTGGACATTTTTTATTTCTTTTAATATGTTGTTTTTAAGTAATCTCTACACTCAAATTTGGGGCTTGAATTTACAATCTGGAGATCAAGAGTCACATGCTCTACTGACTGAGCCAGCTAGGCCTCCCTGGACATATTCTAAAATCTTTTTCAGTTTTGTGTATTTTCTGCCACTCAGTGCAGGACTTGTCTTTTTGACTAGTCAAGAATATTGGTTTATTTTTGTCAAAAATTAATATTTTGTTTGTAATTGAAGAACCTCTGTAATTGAAGAAAATGGTTTATTTTCTTGTACTTTTTTTTTTTTTTTAAGATTTTATTTATTTGACAGAGATCACAAGTAGGCAGAGAGGCAGGCAGGGGGGGTGAAGCAGGCTCCCTGCCGAGTGGAGAGCCCGATGCGGGGCTTGATCCCAGGACCCTGAGACCACGACCTAAGCCAAAGGCAGAGGCTTTAACCCACTGAGCCACCCAGGGACCCCTCTTGTACTTTGTTTTATGACCACTGGCTTGCACATTGGGATTAATTTCAGTAACATTATTGCTCTCTCTCATGTTGAGCAGAAACCTGAGTAGTGTCATATAGTGGGTCAGATTAGTGGCTATTGCAGCACAGTTTTGTGCCATAATAGCCCAGTTTAATTGTTAATCCATTGACAACATATTTGCCCTGTGTGATGCCTGTAGAATGTAAGAAAATACTCCAAATTTTATTAATAATTTATATTCAGATCTAGTTTTTTAACCTGTTCACTTACACTCCCTCTTAAAATATAGAATTCTTGATTGTGTTGATTTCATGTTTGTCTCTGTCTGTTTGGGCTGCCATCACATAATACTGTGGACTGGGTGGCTTAAACAACAGAAGTGTATTTTCTCACAGTTCTGGAGACTGGCAGTCTGAGATCAGGGTGCCATTATGATTAGATTCTGGTGAGAACTCGTTTCCTGGTTTGCTGACAGCCGCCTCACCATGTCCTTAGATGGCAGAGAGAGCCCAATGCGGGGCTCGATCCCAGGACCCCGAGATCATGACCTGAGCCGAAGGCAGAGGCTTTAACCCACTGAGCCACCCAGGTGCCCCAAGATATTGTATTTTAATATGACATAAAGTAATCCTGTTTTCCTTGTGGTTATTTCACCAACAATTAGGTATTTTTGTTTCAGTTCATTTTTAGTTGGAATTTTTTTCTTTTGATTTAAATATGTTTCTAAAATTTTATAAAGTATCTACATAGTGATAAAGTTAAAATTATGTAACACCATCCCCATTTTCAATCTGATACTGTTCACCCTTTTTATTTTTCCCTATATATACCATTGGTTTTTATTATTTGACTCTTCTGTTCATTTAAAAATTATAAACATGTATATATGTGAGTATATACGTAACATATATTCATATTCATATTTCTTAGTTACTGGAGATTGTCCCACAGGAGTATGTAGTAATCTTTCTCCCCTTTTTACAGCTATATGGATATATATACCATATTTTATTCAGCCACTTCCTTACTGATGGACATTTGGGTTGTTTCCAATCTTAGTGTTACAAATAGTGCTGCAATGAATAGCTTTGTACATATGTCTTTTTGTATTTTTGCCAGCATATCTTTGGGATAGAGTCCTAGAAGTGGGATTGCTGGATCAAAAGGTAAATACATATGTATTTTGCTAGATATTGCCAAGTTCTCTTTCACCAGGTTTGTGTCATTGTGCTTTACCTGCTTAAGCACAGCCTTACCATAGAGTATGTTGTCAAACTTTGGGATTTTATTTCCAATCTGATACCTTAGTGCTTTTCCAATTTACATTTCTTTTCTTTTCTTTTCTTTTTTTTTTTAAAAAGACTTTATTTATTTAACAGAGAGACGGAGAGAGAGGGAATATAAGCAGGGGGAGTGGGAGAGAGAGAAGCAGGCTTCCTGCTGAGCGGGGCGATGGTTGGGGGGGAAGCGTTTGATCCCAGGACCCTGGGATCACCACCTGAGCCCAAGGGAAGGCAGACACTTACGGACTGAGTCACCCAGGTGCCCCTCTAATTTACATTTCTTTTAAAATGAGTAAATTTCCACATGTTTCCATATGTTTAAGGATGACTTGCATTTCTTTTTGATAAATTCTCTTTTCATATATTTTGGTCATTTTTCTACCAGATTATTAGTTTGTTTCTTCTTGGCTTATTAGTAGTTTTTAATTTATGAGGGTTTAGTTCTATAATTCATTATTTATAATGTTGCGTTGATTTTTTATTTGTAAGTTAGCATGCTGTTTGAGGGAGAAGGTTCCTCCTAGCTAAGGACCATGAGTGTTCGGCCTTATTATGGTTTGGTAATGAAAATTGACTTTCTACTAACCCATACTTCCAGGATGCTCCCAATTTAGTCTTTGTTGGCTTGTTACATTTCTGGTGAAAAATTTCAAAACAATTAAAAACAAATGGAAAATAATATAACAAACACACATGGATAAAAATGAGTGGAAAACAATATAACAAACACTGGTGTTACCTACTGTGAAGAATTAATGTTATCATTGTACAATATTTGTTCCCATTTTTTTCATCCCATAAAATATCCTTAACACAAAGTCTGCCATTTTAACCATCTTGAGGTGTACAGTTCAGAGCATGAAGTACATTCACATTGTTGTACAACCATCACTACGGGGATCTCCGCACTTTTTCATCCTCCCAGACTGAAGCTCTGTACCTGTTACACAACAGTAACTCCCCATCTCCCTTTCTCAGGCCTTGGGAGCCACCGTTCTCTTTTCTGTTTCTCTGGATGTGGCTGCTGTAGCTCTTGCATGGAAGTGGAATCATAGAGGATCTGTCCTTTTGCAAGTGGCTTACTTAGCGTCATGTCCATGTTCATCTGTGTTGTCATGTGTGCCAAGATTTCCTTCCTTTTTAAAGCTGAGTAATGTTCCATTGTATGTATGTAAGCTGAGTAATGTTCCATTGTATGTATGTACCACCTTTTATTTATCCGTTTATCTATTTATGGATACTTAGGTAGCTTCTACCTTTTGGCGCCTATGACTCTTACTGCTACGAACCTTTGTGTACAAACATCTGAGTCCCTGCTTTCAATTCTTTGGGGTAGGTACCCAGAAGTGGAATTGCTAGGTCATAGGGTGATTGTACTTTTAATTGTTTGAGAAACCACCATATAGTTTTCTACAGTGGCCGCACCATCTTCCATTCCCAGACCAGCAGTGCACAAAGATTCCAGTTTTTCACATCCTTGTCAACACTTGTTTTTTGCTTTGGTTATTCTAGGGGGTGTGAGGTATGTCTCATTGTGGTTTTGATTTGCATTTACCTTACAATGTTAAACATGTTTTCATGTGTTGTTCCCCCCGCCTTTTCTTTTTGAAAGAAAAATTTCAGCCTCTTTTGTACTTCCCTTCTAATCCTGTTTTCTCCTCTCATCGCCAAAGGTAGCACTGTTGAAATCGATGTATAGTCTTCCCACCTTTGTTTCTTATACTCTTATTAATATGCATGCATTTATAAAGAGATACTGCGAAGTTTCCTTTGAAGTCTAAACTGTATCTTGTGCTTTTCATTCTGCACCTGCTGTTTTTATTCGATGTGGGGTTTTATTTGAGATTTTTCTATGTCAAAACTAGTTCATTCATTTCATCTGCTATACAGTACTACTCTGCTGTAGAACTGCCGTAATCTGTCTCTTCTCCTACTGATTGCTTTTGTCTGGTGCTGTTACACACAGTGCTGTGGTGAGCATCCTTGTACTTGCCTCCTTGTGTTTGTCTGAAGCTCAGGCTCCCCTAGGGTGCACTCATTCAGCCCCTGTTCATTGTGAACTCTAGTGGCAGGCGTTGTTTTGGGCAATGGGAATACATCAGGAAACAAAACCCTGCTCTTAGAGAATTTATGTAAATTGGGATTATTGGATTCTGGAATATTTGAATCTTTGCCTACTCAACAAAAAATTTATTGAGTTTGCTGTGACAGAGATATAGGAGTAACCAACACAAAGTCCTGTCTTGACAGAGTTTATTTTCTAATGGGGGGGATAAAAAGATGTATGGTGCACTGTCGAGTAGAAATGAATGCCTTTAAGATAATGAAACTAGAGTCTGGGTTTTCTGCATTAGATAAGTACTGATGGAAAGCCTTTCTGGAGAGAGGATGTTCAAGGGGAGGCTTGAATGAAATGAAGCCAGGAATGACACTGGGGAATGAGTCTTTGAGCTGAGGAAATAAACGCAGAGGAGACTTTGAGGAAAGAACGTGATTAGAGAATAGTAAGAATCCCAGGGTCACTTGAGTGCAGGGAGCAAAGAGGCTGGTTGGGGATGAAGTGGCAAGGAAGGTAGCCAGAGGTCAGACCTTGTTGGGCCTTTGCACTCTCCCAAAGAGTTCAGATTTTATTATAATTGGGATTAAAAGGTGAAATATATAGTGGTTAGGTCTTGGGCTAGAGAAAGAGAGCAAGAGAAATGATGGGAAGTGGTTAGATTTAGGATATATTTTAAAGGTGGTACCTATAGAATTTTCTGATGGTTTTGATGTAAGATGTGAAAGAAAAGTTGGAAAGCAAGGATAACTCGACATTTTTGGGTTGAGCCAAAATACAGATTGGTGGTGTCTTTTACTCAATTGGAGAGTACTAAGGAAGAATCAGGTTGAAAATTCAAGTTTGAAATGCCTATTAGGTATGTCAAGTAGTTGGCATTAGATATTAAATGGTAGTCCAGAGTGACTGTAATCGTTACACTCTCACCAGCTTTATATAATGCATTTGAGTGAGTTCCTGATGGATTCCAGCAGGAGACAACATGTCACACTTCCGTGCTGTTGAGATTCATCGATAATCAATGCAGTATGGGAGCCCGCCATTTAAAAAGAGCACGTGAATATTTTGTGTGTGAAATCAATTAACTTGTGAAGTAAATTGTGTAAGTTAGGGTTGCTAAGTTTATGTTTTTATACCTTGAGTTTTCTTTAATTGGGGCTCATCTGTTTCCTTTTGTTTTGATTTTAATTCCAGATGCTGGATCTGGTGTGGAAGAAGTGGAATTAAGCTGGGAAGATTATCTAGAAGAGACCGGGTCCACTGCAGTTCCCTATGGATCGTTTAAACATGTAAGCAGTGACTGTATTTGTTTTACTGACTGTATCCCATTCCTTTGTCCCATGGTACCATTATTAGAGAGTTTAGAGTTATTTTACGTTGGAGCACTTGAAAGGATTTGAGTGCTTTTTCCTTCTCCTGCCCCCTTCATTAAGAAAACTGGACATTTTTTATTTCTTTTAATATGTTGTTTTTAAGTAATCTCTACACTCAAATTTGGGGCTTGAATTTACAATCTGGAGATCAAGAGTCACATGCTCTACTGACTGAGCCAGCTAGGCCTCCCTGGACATATTCTAAAATCTTTTTCAGTTTTGTGTATTTTCTGCCACTCAGTGCAGGACTTGTCTTTTTGACTAGTCAAGAATATTGGTTTATTTTTGTCAAAAATTAATATTTTGTTTGTAATTGAAGAACCTCTGTAATTGAAGAAAATGGTTTATTTTCTTGTACTTTTTTTTTTTTTTTAAGATTTTATTTATTTGACAGAGATCACAAGTAGGCAGAGAGGCAGGCAGGGGGGGTGAAGCAGGCTCCCTGCCGAGTGGAGAGCCCGATGCGGGGCTTGATCCCAGGACCCTGAGACCACGACCTAAGCCAAAGGCAGAGGCTTTAACCCACTGAGCCACCCAGGGACCCCTCTTGTACTTTGTTTTATGACCACTGGCTTGCACATTGGGATTAATTTCAGTAACATTATTGCTCTCTCTCATGTTGAGCAGAAACCTGAGTAGTGTCATATAGTGGGTCAGATTAGTGGCTATTGCAGCACAGTTTTGTGCCATAATAGCCCAGTTTAATTGTTAATCCATTGACAACATATTTGCCCTGTGTGATGCCTGTAGAATGTAAGAAAATACTCCAAATTTTATTAATAATTTATATTCAGATCTAGTTTTTTAACCTGTTCACTTACACTCCCTCTTAAAATATAGAATTCTTGATTCTGTTGATTTCATGTTTGTCTCTGTCTGTTTGGGCTGCCATCACATAATACTGTGGACTGGGTGGCTTAAACAACAGAAGTGTATTTTCTCACAGTTCTGGAGACTGGCAGTCTGAGATCAGGGTGCCATTATGATTAGATTCTGGTGAGAACTCGTTTCCTGGTTTGCTGACAGCCGCCTCACCATGTCCTTAGATGGCAGAGAGTGAGAGAGCAGGCCCTCTGGTGTCTTTTCATATAGGGACATTGATCTTACTGGATCAGGTCTCCACTCCTACGGCAGAGTGAGAGAGCAGGCCCTCTGGTGTCTTTTCATATAGGGACATTGATCTTACTGGATCAGGTCTCCACTCCTACGGCCTCCTTTCCCCTTTACTACCTCCATAAAGGTGCTGTCTTCAAATGTAGTCACATTGTGAGTTGGGATTTGAACGTATGGATTTTGGGGAGACACAGTTCAGTCCAAAGCAGTGTTCAACAGGGCAGAGTTCCTTTGTTCTGGGGTTTGGGAAGGCAACAATGCCCACTCAGAGTTGTTTGACTTTGGGAAGTTGAACCGTATTCTTGAAAGTGTTTTTATAAGCTGAAGAGTCCTTCTGTTTTTCAGTTTGTTTTGTAAAATCTCAGTCATGATATTTTCCTTTCTATTTTTTAGTTCATTTATGTCTTTCTAAAATTGAAGTGGTGAGATTTATGTATTTTAAGTAAAGATTTCATTTTATATTGACTAATCTCTTATAGTCAGTTTCAATATATTTTTTTAACATAGAAAGCCTATTTGTGATCATGTAATATTTTTGAATTCTTGTTTTAAATGTTATTACTAATCTGATATGTATTTATACAAGCTTATTTATTTATACTAAAATGAAAATGGGGGCACCTGAGTGGCTCAGTTGGTTAAGCGGCTGCCTTTGGCTCAGGTCATGATTCTGGAGTCCCAGGATTGAGTCCCACGTCGGACTTCCTGCTCAGCAGGGAGTCTGCTTCTCCCACTGACCTCTCTCCTCTCATGCTCTCTCTCTCTCTCATTCTCTCTCTCTCTCTCAAATAAATAAAATCTTTAAAAAAAAAAAATGAAAATGGAGGACAAACTTTCTGACCAAAATTCTGGGTCTAAAAAATGGTTCCACCTCTCCTCTTTGACAAAGCAACAAGGAGAATGAAAAATAGATGTGTCCTCTCTCATCATCAAATACAGAAAATATATGTAAGCTTGAATCAGTATATTGTGAAGGGCTGCCAGGTACAATGAAAATTAGGCACTGGTATAGGAAGATGCTGGGGAAGCGGTGCTGGTGGATAGCTGATCATAGGCAAAGCTGGTAGAACTCCGATCTCCAGAACAATGGAGATGGATGTTTAAGATGCTGGCAAGAGTTCTACAGGACCCTGTTTGGAATAAAGGAGGGTGGGAAGATGGGGCTGCAGAAGAAATTAGAGGCCAAACCACATTTGCAAGGAGGATGCGTCCAAGATAGTAAAACAGTTTTCCTTATGGTGCATGTCTGGTACCATGTATGGTACATGGAGGAAGCAGTACCAGTTTTGGAAAAGGCACTGAGCTTTATCTGGGCCTTCTGGAACAAAACCTTTAAGCTGCTAGGGGAGGGGATGCAAACCCTGTTAACCCCAGGATGCAGGTGAAATCCATTGCATCCTGGAGATAGGACAGAAGAAGTAAAAGCCTTTTGTTCCTGGGAGGGGGGTAGGAATACAAGCTGGAGCAATCGAGGCCCCCTACAGTTGGGAGAGGGGTAAGATCACTGAGAAGTTCCTATTCTTTTTTTTTTTTTTTTTTGAAGATTTTATTTATTTAACAGAGAGAGAGATCACAAGTAGGCAGAGAGGCAGGCAGAGAGAGGGTGAGAAGCAGGCTCCCTGCTGAGCGGAGAGCCTGATGCAGGCCTCGATCCCTAGACCCTGGAATCATGACCTGAGCTGAAGGCAGAGGCTTTAACCCACTGAGCCACCCAGGCGCCCTGAAGTTCCTATTCCTAAGACTCAGGACACAGAACCTGACTGAGACTGAGGCTGAATCTCAGAGAATGTGCTTTCCTGCTTGTCTTCAACCATGAAGTGAGGAAATACTGGGTAACAAAGGTCTGTTTGTAGGAGACAGACAAGAGTGTAGAGAGAAGTGATCTCTGAGGTACAGTTACACAGAGAAGACCTAAGTCTGAGAGTGGAGCAGCAAATATTGAGGGGGGGGAAAGCCTCCCAGCAAATAAGCCTATACCTTAAATCCAAAAATGCTGATGTGCCTTGGAGCCTCTTGTGTACTATGAGTAACTAAACAACAACAAAACCCAAACCCTGTTCCACTCCTTAACTACATTGACTTAACCTTCTCCCTCAGATTTAAGGCCTAAAAAGAAACATACCCATTTTCAGGCGTTAATGTTATTTGCCTCAATCTCAATTATTCTACACAGTATGTCTGGCTTTTAACCAAAAATTATGGGACACATGAAGAAGCAAGAGAAAAACAGCAAACTGTCAAGAGACAAAGCATTCAACAGAACCAGACTCATAACGTTCAGATGTTGGAACTATCAGTTTTTTTTTTTTTAAAGATTTTATTTATTTATTTGACAGAGATCACAAGTAGGCAGAGAGGCAGGCAGAGCGAGAGGGGGAAGTAGGCTCCCTGCCGAGTGGAGAGCCCTATTGGGGGCTCGATCCCAGGACCCTGGGATCATGACCCAGGCTGAAGGCAGAGGCTCAACCCAATGAGCCACCCAGGCACCCCTATCAGACAGTTTTAAATAACTATGAGTAATAGGTTAAAGGCTGTAGTAGAATAGATAGGCAACATGTGTGAATAGAAAAGGACTTTCAATAGAGATGGACACTATTAGCGTCAAGTGGGAATCTAAGATATGAAAAACATGGTAATAAGAGATGTTGAATGCCTGTGACAGGCTTATTGCAGACTTGTAGACCTCACAAATGAGGAATCAGTATACTTGAAGATAAGTCAATATAAATTGCCCAGACTTGAAATACAAAGAGAGGAAAGGTGGAAAAAGTCCAGACCAGAGCATCCAGTGTTGTAGACAGTATAAAAAAAGCTTAATGCTTGTGTAATTGGAATCTCAGGAGACAAGAAAGTGAGGAAAATATATTTGAAGAGCATAATTGACCACATAAGCAGAATAAAGGAGAAAAATCACATTATCAACTCACTATATAGAGAAAAATATTTGATAAAATTCCACATGCACTCATGATACAAGAAAATTCTTAGCAAACTATAGATGGGAATATCTTTAATTTGTTGAAGGATATCTATAAAAAATCTATAGCAAATTTTATTAATAGTAATATGACGCATACTTTTTTTTAAATATGGAACAAGATGAAGGTGTTGTCTAATATGACTTCTGTTTGATATTGTGTTAGAGGTTCTGACTAGTACAGTAAGAAAAACATTAAAACGTGTAAGAATTAGGAAGGAAAAAATGTCATTATTTACAGTTATAAAATTAATGACCAACTTTAGTAAGATTGTTAGAAACAAGGTAGCATAGAAAACCTATTATGTTTCTAGGGCCACCTGGGTGGCTCAGTTTGTTGAGTGTCTGACTCTTGATTTCAGCTGAGATCATGGTCTCAGGGTTGTGAGATCAAGCCCTCTGTTAAACTCCTCACTGGTTTGGAGCCTGCTTAAGATTCTCTCCCTCTCCCTCTGCTTCCTCCTTTCCCCTCTCTCATATATGTGTATGTATGTATGTATGCGTGTATATATATACACACACACACACATACACACACACAGGCATGTATATATATATATATATATATATATATATATCCATTATATATCTATTATATTTCTGTATACCGGGGACAAAGAAAAGTGGAAACTGAAAGATGTGATTTACAATAGCATAAAAACATTAAATGGCCAGGAATAAATGTAACAAAAATTTGTAAAGTAACTTCAAGCCATAAAATGAAGGAATATACGTTGTTTATGTAATGGTAGATTTACTATTATAAAGATGTCAGTTCTCCCCAAAGAGATCTGTAGATACACTGCAACCCATGTCAAATACCAAAAAAATTTAGGTAGACATTGACAATCTGATTCTTTTTTTCTTTAAGATTTTATTTATTTGAGAGAGAGAGAGAGCATTAGAGTGTGAGCACAAGTGGGGGTGAGGGGAGGGAGCAGAGAGAGACGGTGAAGCAGACTCCCGCTGAGCCAAGAGCCCAATGCAGGTCTCGATCCCAGGACCCTCGGATCATGACCTTAGCTGAAGGCAGATGTTGAACTGACTGAGCCACCCAGGAGCTCCTGTTTTCTGTTTCTGTCATTTTTCTCTGTATTTATTAATTGGTCTTTTATTACTCTAAGAATCTATCCCTAATTATTTTTTACAGTATGGACTCATGGGTATTATTTAAATCTATGGATTATAACCCTTTAATTTTTCTATTTTATTGCTCAGATTGTCCCTAATATGAACATTGGGGGATCTTTCTGGTTGGCTCCCATGTCCTTTCTAAATGCCCCCATCATTTTTGGAGCATTTCCTTACTTTCTGGCATCGCAAGATATTCTAGGCACTTCATGTGTTTTTTCTGCTCCGGAAGTAGAATCACTCATTTCTCCATGGAGCCCATGTTCTTTTTCATTGGAGGATGGCATTTATAAATGAAGAATTTGTACACTAAGTTTGCTTATTGCTGATGAGTATCATTACTTAGAGTCCCTGTCAATTCACAGAGCTAGGAAATGTATTAGCACCCACATACATGCACATCTGTACTATTCTCTGTCTGTCATTTTGACCTCATTCAGACACTCCTGATTCCAGCTCAGCGCCACCAGGATCGTGCTGATCTGCTCTTTCCTTGTTTTTACTTCTTTCTCCCACAGTGAGAAACGTGGCTCTCATTTCACAATATATGTATGTATTTAATCTTTGTATACACATGAAATAGTTCAGAATTGCTCACCTTTGCCTTTGTGACCATATAATTTATCATTTGAATTAGGACACTTTGAGAGAGAAACAGGGCATTATTAATTATTATTCAAGGATAACAGGTATAAACATAGACTGTTTCAGGGAAACTGGGAGGTGTGGCCCCTACATCTGGTATATATTATACTAATATATTATCATTATAGCTGTTTTTGTCCTTCCCCTTTTTTAGCCTCATAAATTTTTTTGAAGGATGGAGAAATCACTCTTGAAAACTTAATGTGTTGAAGGTTACTAAAATGGTGAACATTCAGCGATTTATGTACTGAATAGAAAACATTTTCTGTAATCATAGGCTGCTTTGGTGAAAATACTGAGTTCTATTAAAATTCCTTCGGCGTCGGCAGGAACAGAGCAGCATGCTGTTCTCTGTTCTGTTTGGATCACTGCTGTGAGTTAGAATTGGAGTTTCTCAGGTTTTCCTTGAGAAGGTTTTATTTCATTTAGTGTTTCATAATTGTAAGTTTTAAAAAAATATCTTGGCTAAAGAAATACTCATTTTAGGTACCTCTCTGGTGGTTAATAACTTTTCCCTGTTCAGGTGGACACACGTTTGCAAAATGGATTTGCTCCTGGGATGAAACTGGAGGTGGCTGTGAAGACAGACCCTGAAACCTACTGGGTTGCCACCATCATCACCACCTGTGAGCAGCTGCTGCTTCTCCGCTATGATGGCTACGGGGAGGACCGGAAGGCCGACTTCTGGTGTGACATCAGGAAGGCCGACCTCTACCCCATTGGGTGGTGTGAGCAGAATAAGAAGACCCTTGAAGCCCCAGAAGGTAATTAAATACTTGCTCACGAGATGTGATATGGTACTGCTGTGTGCACAACCTTGAGGTTTTCGTTCTTCCGCACGTGTAGGTTTTTCTAACTGTCTGGGGTTAGCATTTTGAATGAAAATATTGATAAGGAATAATGCACATTTCCCTATCTTTAGAAATTATTTTGAAGGCTTCGTAAAGCCTTGGTTTTTTATGATACTCCTAGGAAGCATCAGTTGTGTATCATCCTGTAAAACTGTGAGGCTCTTTGAGTTTGGGACTTGTAGGTCTGTTTGTCTTGAACTAGTTAGGCCAGATTGCTGTGCTGTTGATTCTCTTCTGATTTTATTGTCCTGCCTCTTCTCACCCCTCAGTGATCTGGGACCTGTGAGTTCTTAAAATGAGTCACCTGAAGTTCCCTTCCAGGAAAGAGCCTTATTGGGAGTAGAATCCAAATTGAGTGGGACAGAGATAGTAGGACAGGAGGAGGAGGAAGGTCATGTAAAGATGGAGAAAGGGAAAGAAGGCTTCAGGTTTAAGAAAATACCAGAGCTTATATGTTTTTCTTTCAGCTACTTATTTTGATGTAATTTCAGCTTTACAGAAAAGTTGCAAAAATAGCATAGAAAATTCTTAGAGACTTTTTGCCAATTTTCCCTAAATGTTGATGTTTTACCAAGTTTATGTTCTCCATCCCTCTCCCTCCCTCCCTCTGTCTCTCATATACACACACGTGTGTGATTTTTCAATGAACCATTCGAGAGTCAGTTGTAAGCACGATGCCCTTTTATTCCTACCTTCATGTACTAATAAGGACATTCATTAGCACAATAAAATAATAAAATAAGGAAATTAACTTTGGTATAACACTGTGATTTAATCTGTAGATCTTATTTAGTTTTTACCCATAATGTTTTTATAGTAAAAGGAAATCCCAGATCATATGTCGCATTCAGTTGTCATATCTCATAAGATTCCTTTAATTTGGAACAGTTTCTTAATCTTTGACTTTCATGACTTTGACGTTTTTGAAAGTTAATGGGCCAGTTTTCTCAGTAATGTTGATTATGCCTTGTTTCTTTTCCTGGTCCAGGATTCAGTCCAGGATCATACATTGTATTTGATTGTCATGTCTTTTTAGTTTCCCTAAACTTCCTTTGTTTTTCTTGGTATTGATGTTTTTGAAGAGTACAGTCCAATTATTCTATTAGAACATCCCACAGTTTGGATTTGTCTGATGTTTCCTCAGACTCAGATTGTGCACTTTTGGTAGGAAAAATGCAGAAGTGACTTTCTGTCCTTCTAGGGCATCAGTCATTATTAGGGCACACATACTGTTGGTTTGTCCTTAACTGGTGACATTAACTTGTATCACTTGATTAATTTTGTGTATGCCAGGTTTTTCCACCATAAAATTACTTTTATACCCCTAAATAAGTATCTTGTAGGAAGATACTTTAAGATAATGTAAATATCTCATCACTCTTCAAACTTTTATCCACTATTTTTAGCACTGATTTATCATTTTTATCTGAAACAACTATTATTCTAATGTTTACCAAACAGTGTTTTCTAATTCTGCCTACATATCATAATAGGCTTTCTACAAGAGAAAGAGCTTTCCTTTTCCCCCATTCACATACATATATTTGTGTATGTATGAGAGGGTAGACTCGTGATTCTTACTTTACTCAATGGATTATAATCCCTTACTGTCATTATTTATTTTGATGCTCACATTGTCCTGAATTTGGCAAGTGATCACCCCTTTAAGCTGGCTGATGCGTCCTTTGTTATGTTCCCATCATATTTTTAGTAGTTTCTTATGTTTTAGCTCAAGAAACTCTTTCCCTGAAATCAGCCATTTCTTCAAGAAGTCCTGGCTTCTTTTGGTGAAGAATGGTATTTTGAAATGAAGATTTAGGTGTTAGGGTCCTTGGGGGTCTGTGGGCTTCTTAGAAGCCTTTTTTTTTTTTTTAAAGATTTATTTATTTATTTTGAGAGAGAGAGAACTGGGGGTTGAATGGGAAAGGGAGAAAGAACCCCAAGCTGAGCCCAGAGCCTCATGTGGGGCACGATCCCAGGACCTTGAGATCAGGACCTGAACTGAAACCAAGTGTTGGATGCTTAACCGACTGAGCTACCCAGTAGCCCCTAGCTGCCATATTTTAAGCGCTTTGTGAAAAAACATTTTAAGAGGAAGCTCTAGAGACATGAAGCTACTGGCCTACAGTCTCATCATGAGAGTCTAGGAAAATGCATGCATCTAATATAAATGATTTTAGTTGGATACAAGGTTATTATAATGAAAGAGTGAGAGGGAGAGAGTGGAGAGAACGGTGGAGTAAAATCGTTCCAGAGAAACATAACCACAAAGGAGTTGAACATTGTGTCACAAAAAAAATTTCAAAAAACCAACTAAGAGAAAGTAGTAACAATGATAGAAGCAGTGAGAAAAAGTATAAATAAAATTTATAAAAATTCAGAAATGAGATGGAAAAAAGGGAGATTTGAAAAGAGAAAAAGTAGGAGTTAGACGAGAACTAGAAATTAAAAAATACTGGAAATGAAAACTAAGTTAATGTGAACTCAGGAACAAACCTACCATGGATAATAGCTGAAGAGAAATGGAGGATGAAAAGGAAGAAAAATTTTAAAATAAAAAAGAAATGAGGAAAGAAAAAAGACTCAGGGTAGAGTCCTTGAAGAAAACCACCACAGTGAAACAATAAAGTACTATCAACTTTCATTCAAGAAAACTTGACTAAAATACATATAGAAAGGGCTCACTTGCGCACAAGAAAATCAAGTGAGAACAGCTATATCAAGGTGTGTTCTAGTGACACTTGAACGGGTAATTTTTAAGATTTTATTTATTTACTTATTTATTATAGAGAGAGAGAGAGAATGAGCAGGAGGGAGGGGCAGAGGGAGCAGCAGGCTCCTCACTGAGCAGGGAGCCCGATGTCAGGTTCGATCCCAGCACCCTGAGATCATGACCTGAGCTGAATTGAAGGTAGACGCTTAACCGACTGAGCCACTGAGGTGCCCCTGACACTTGAACTTTAAAGTAAAATAAAATCCCTTCATTATTCAGGCGAAAGTCCCAAATTTCTTGAAAAGGAGAGAAAATAAGATTGTTATCAGACTAATAAACAATAGTGCTTTTTGATAAAAGATATTAGGGTAACATAGTTAAGAAATTCAGTAAAAGAATCTATGAGATAAGAGTTTTCCGTCTGGCCACACTGAACTTCAGGTATACAGGCTATAAGCCGACTCTTAGGAAGATGTGAAGATTCAGGAACAGTGTTCCTGTGAACCCTTCCTAAGACATCCATTGGAGAATGAGCTTCAGAAAACCCAAGTGAACCCAAGTGAAGAAGAGACATTAGCATAAGAACTGTGAATGAGACATTAAATATATGTGTAGCTGTAGAACTTGGAACTAAAGGAATGTTCCAGAGGAGACAGTGTAGTAGTATGTAATGGCTCAATGATCTGACAGACAGATACAGTGTAAACCTGTGAGGCTGCGGGGGCGGGGGGTGGGGGGGGGGGGGGGGGGGGGCCGTGGGCCTTGTGGTAAACCTCACTTGCTGCCTTTTCAAAAAACCAGCTTTACTGCAGAGTAGTTAAATGAATTACCTTTTATTTTTTTTTAACTAATTATCTTTTAAATGTTAATTGAGAGTAAAAGACAATTACCTGAAACGAGATGGTAAAGAAGAGGAGAAAAAAGAGGTTTTGGCTAATGTTAGTGCTGTTTAGAGAACAAAGAAATGGAAAATAGTCCAAAAATAGAACTAAATTGTTATATGAAGGTACTAGTATATACTAAGTATATACAGAAGAACAAAAACACAAACCTTTCTAAATGCCAAAAGATAGATTTTAAAAAACATGTATGTTCAAATAAAATAGATCACATAGTGAGCGCCTGCACATACACACACACACACATCAGTAACTTATATTTAACAATATGACAAAATTGAGGGCATACCTTTTTTTAAATTTTTCTATTTTTTATTAACATATAATGTATTATCAGCCCTAGGGGTACAGGACTGTGAATCACCAGGCTTACACACTTCACAGCACTCACCATAGCACATACCTTCCCTAGTGTCCATAACTCAACCACCCTCTCCCTACCCCCACCCCCAGCAACCCTCAGTTTGTTTTATGAGATTAAGAGTCTCTTATGGTTTGTCTCCCTCCTGATCCCATCTTGTTTCATTTTTTCCTTCAAGGGCATACCTTTTGATAACATCCATAAACATTAATGGGCTTAGTCTTCTATTAAAAGTAAAAATATAGTTCAGGTTCACTCAGAAAGCAAAACCCACTTTTTAAAATTTAATTTAATTTAATTTATTTATTTGAGAGAGAGAGAGAGTGAGAGAAGCGTGAGGGACAGAAGGAGAAGGAAGGCCTCCCACTGAGCATGTAGCCACATGCAGGGCTCGACCCCAGGACCCCAGGATCATGACTTGAGCCAAAGGCAGACACTTAACCAGCTGAGCCACCCAGGCACCCCTGCAAAACTCACTCATGTGCTGTACAGGAGACCCACCTAATGGAGAGATTCTGCAAGGATTAAAATACAGGGATGGACAAAGATATACAAAAATCAAATCAAATAGAAAAGAAAGTAGGAGTGTAAGTCTTGGTATTTCATAAAGATCAGAAAGCATTATGAGATAAAAGGGTAACTTTATAGTGATCAAAGCTGCAGTGCATGGTAAAAAAAAAAAGATGGCCATCTACATATAGTCATGGAGTGTTCTGGTTATCTTGTTTCTTGAAAAGAGAAAAATGTATGAAGAATGGAGGAGGAAGCATATGAATGTGTATATGTGAATTTCATTTTTTTTGTTTTGTGAAGTTCATTTTTAAAAAATAAAAGGGTAAGTCTATTAAAAAAGTTTCCTGTGGGAGGAGGAGCCCCGGTGGCTCATTCAGTTGAGTGTCTGCCTTCAGCTCAGGTCATGATGTCAGGGTCCTGGGATTGAGTCCCTGCGTTGGACTCCCTGCTCAGTGGAGAGCCGGGTTCTCCCTCTCCCTCTGCCCCTTTCCCCACTCACGCTCACATGCTCTCTTTCTCACCTGCTCTCTCAAATAAATAAATAAAATCTTTAAGGAAAAAAAAAGTTACCTGTGGGGAAGGAAGGAAGTAGAATGAAGGGGGGTCCAGGGATAGAAGCTAGGTTTTCTGAATGTACCTATTTTGTAGATTTGAATTTTGAACTATGTATTTTATATGACTATAAAACAAAATTAAATTTTAAAGAAAATTTCTAAAAAATAAAAATAAAAGCAGCATAGAAATGTAACTGTGTATGGAGATTGTGAAGTGACCATTCAGAGAATTATTTCATTGGCTTTCAGATATAGTAATTTAAATATACATTCCTCATAGGGGTATACCATAATCACAAAAACAAAAGTAAGCTGTTTTTGGTCATCATTGTTAGTGGCCAAAATTAATGTTATTTTGAAGTAATATGCAGGTATTGTGGGATCAAGTCATAATGAAATGTGTGAGAACTAGGGTTTTTAGCAGGAAAGAAAGAAAACAGAAGTTGGATAAATGAAGTTAAGTAGAAACAATGTCTTCATGAATTTGTATTGGAAGTATTGATATGAACTCCTGATATGGTTTATGTCTTTAAAAGGAAGACACTGTTCTGGATACTGAAAAGGTCTAGAAACACAAACCGTATAAAGAATATTAAAAAATGAGCGCCCTCGGCACCCTAATTATGACCGCTAAATACCATTTTACCTGAGTAAGTTATTGCTCCTTGGAGAAGGAGCTGATTCCTGGACAGGGGCAGGAAAGGTACAAGCTGAGCCTGGGACACCATTCATACCAAAAGTAGGAAAGATGTCAGTAACTGTTTACTAGGGTCATGTGTCAAAAGAGATTCTTGTGGTTAAAGATAGGACAGTATAAGCATCAGTAAGACAATAGCTGCAGTGACCTGGAACATGTCATATGTGATATAGCCAATAGTTTCCCAGTGAGACTTGTAAACAGAACGCTCACTGATTGCCTTTGGAAGATACTAGGGAAGCCACTGATGATTTTGAAGGCTGGTAAATACAGGGAAAGATAAAGAGAATCAAACATATATTCTGGCTTTTTTCTGTGAACTACACCTCAGGGTAATGAACTAGTTGAAGAAGTGAAAGTTTTCTTTATAGAATATTTTCGTTAGTAAACAAAAAAAGGGATGATGGAAAAATCACCATTTTTAGTCTCTAATGAATCAGTGTATCTATGCAGTGACCATTAAAAGCTGCTAACACCACAAAAGGAGACAACTGGACTGATTATGCTTCTTGATGGACATGGTAGAAGGTTACAACTCCACTCACAAACTGTTCTCAACAGTGCCCCCCTCCCAAAAAAGAGACCTGAATTCGATCAAGCCTATAACCCTAAGTACTGATTTATAGAAAATACAGAGGTTAATGGAGCAGCTGGTTACCCACCCACAGGGAGGCAACCAGTAAAAGCAGACTCAGAAGAACTCTAAACAGACAAAAGGCTCTCTCTCAACAGCAAATACGCTGCTAGAAAAAGAGAGAGAGAGTAGGGAGTTGGAGGGGGAGAAAGAGCATATGGATTAAAACAGACTCAAGCAATATATCAGCCATTTGCAGTATATGTATCTCATTGGGATCCTGATTTGACCAAGCAAATTGGAAAAACTGTTTATGAGACATTTGGGTAAATTTAAATTTTGGATTAGATTTTTTTTTGTTGAAGAATTATTAATTTTTAAATGTGTGATATTGTTGTATTTATATCAGAAGTTATTTTCTTTCAGAAATACATACTAGGGTGCCTGGGTGGCTCAGTGGGTTAAGTGTCCAGCTTGTGATTTCAGCTCTGGTCAAGGTCTCATGGGTCACGGGACTGACCCCATGTCACACTCTGCACTCAGTGGGGAGTCTGCTCCAGATTCTCTCTTTCTCTCTCTCTCTCTCTGCCTTTTCCCTTCTCATGCACTCTGTCTCTCAAATATATAAATAAAAATCTTTAGAAATACATACTGAGATTAAACTGGTTGAAATTATATGATACAATTATGTGATGTTAGAAGTTGGTTCTTAAATAATCTGTGGTTGGGTGGGGCAGACTGTGTGAGGGTATAGATCATCAGGGATTGGCAAAATACCTGTAGAGGACCAGACAGTAAATATTTTAGGCTTTACAGACCATGTGATCCTGTAACAGCTACCTAATGCTACCTTTGTAGTGTAAAGTAGCCGCAGACAGTGTGTAAACAAATGGAACTGTGTTCCAATAAAACTTTAATTATAAGTAGACAATAGGCCAAAGTTAGCTCCCAGGTTGTAGTTTGCCAACAACCCCTGGAAAGACTGACCATGAAGTGACAGTTGTGAAAGCTGGGGTACCTTTCGTCATTATACTATTTTCTCTACTTTTATATGTATCTGATGATTCCCATCATAAAAAAAAAAAAAAAAAAGAAAGTAATTAACGTTTGGATAAAATTGGGCCCAGCTGGGGCACCTGGCTGGTTCAGTTGGTTAAGCATCTGCCTTCAACTCGGGTCATGATCCCAGGTTTCTGGGATCAAGTCCCGCATTGGGCTCCCTGCTCGGCGGGGAGTCTGCTTCTCCCTCTCCTTCCTGCTTGTGCTCTCTGTCACTCTCTCAAATAAATAAAATCTTAAAAAAAAAAAAAAAAACTGGGCCCAACTCCCTGTTACTGTATTCTCTTTGTTTTGTGTATACCTCCTATTAAACTAATGAGGAAGTAGATCTATTGAGACGGGGATTTTTTTTAAGCTCTGAAAGAAGTAATATGTTGGAGTCAGATATTAAAAGTACAAATGGATCTCTAAATCACTTTCAGTGGTTTAACTTCTCTGTATTTGGTTGAGTTTAGTTTCTCTGTGTTCTGTAGCTGACGTTATGAGTAATCACTCATTTATCCCCTCATCTAGGCATTAGAGATAAAGTGTCTGATTGGGATGAGTTTCTGCGGCAGACCCTGATGGGAGCGTGTAGCCCTCCTGTTCCACTTCTCGAAGGCGTGAGTATTATTACTTGCAGAATCAGTGTGGAAAACCCTTCTCATCTTCAGTGATATTTCCTGTGCAAGGAATCTTAAAATTGGTTGCTCATTTATCACTCTAATGCAAATAAGCATTGTTACTACAGGCCTAGACAATGGGTGTTGGTGGGTTTAAACTTGTCCTCACAGTTTGCCAACTGGTGCCTTACTTAGTGCTTAAAATGTTCTGAATTTGTTGCTAACACATAAAAATCTAGTTTTCCAGATTCTTTTATGAAATTGGAAAATGTGGCCTCTTGGGGCTCTCTGTCACTGAGCAGGTGCTGATTTCACTTCAGGAATTTTAACTCCCACCCCAGGTGACTTGAGACTCCCTTTTGTTTTGCTCAGAAGATAGCAGACCTGTTGTATTCTTACCACCTACCTGCCTTCAACAGTCCTTTTAAATTAGTGTAGCTTTTAAACTTGTTAGTGAATATAATATAGATTTCTTGTTTTTATGAAATCCGTTTATTGGTTGTGACATTTCTAAGTTCTATTTTGTCACTTTCTGTCATACCAGTTACATTCTTTGTGGCATATGTGAAATGCAATGTATGAACATTCCAATTTCTCTACATTTTTGCCAACACTTGTTACTCTCTTTGGGTTATAGCTATGCTACTGAATATGAAGCAGTTTCTCATTTTGAGTTGCATTTTCCTAATGACAAATGATGTTGAATATCTTTTTCTGTACTGTTTGCCATTTGTATATCTTCTCTGGGGAAGTGTTTTTGCCCATTTTTTAAATGGGTGGTCTTTTTATTACAGAATTGTAAGAGCTCCTTATGTCTGGTAACAAATCCAGGTCAGACACATGATTTCCAAATATTTTGTGGACTGTCTTTTCACTTTCTTGATGATACTGTTTGCGGCACAAAAGTTTATTTTGACGTACTCCAGTTTATCTATTTTATTGTTCTTGTTGCTTGTACTTTTGGTGTCGTACCTGATTAGGCTTTGTTAATGCAGGGTTACAAAGATTTACTGCTGTATTTTCTACACATTTGATAGTTTTGACTCTGACATCTCATTTTGTGATCCATTCACATTCCCCTTTAAAACTCGATTGACAGATACTCTCAGCTGACCTTTATATTTTATCCTCTGACTCATTTCCTTATGCTTAGCCAGGTCCTGGCACACACTAAACAAACACTGAGTAAAATTTTAATGAATGAATGAAATCTTGAACAAATGATTTAATAGATATCCAGCTCTACATTGACCTTGATTTTGCCATCCTGATTTTTAGCTGTGAATGTGTTCCTCCATTTGTTCATGTTCTTTTGCATATATATGAATATGTAAGTGTTGCAGAGCCATTCTTATTAGCGAAAAAAAAAGTAACTTTGAATATTAAGAAATGGTTAAGTGAAGGCATTGGAATCAGCATTCCCTTTTATTCTTTATTCTAGCTTTTTAAAAAAAGATTATTTATTTGCAAGAGAGAAAGAGAGAGAGTGAGCTCATGAGTGAGGGGTAGAGGGAGAGGAAGAGGCAGACCCCTCTGAGCAGGGAGCCCTGTGTGGGGTTGGATCCCAGGACCCCGGGATCTTGACTGGAGCCGAAGGCAGATGCTTAAACTGACTGAGCCACCCAGGCATCCCTATTGTAGCTTTTAATATGTATCTAGAGAGTGATAATTAAACTTTTCCATTCCATCAGCATAATCAAAACACTCTGTTGATAGGAACATTGTTGCGAAATGAGTAAAAAACCAGAAACAGCTGAAGTGCCATGAGTAGACAAGTGGATAAATTGCTGCTCATTTACACCGCGGAGCGCCAATAGAACAGTGTGAGAGAATGAAGGAGGTTTATGTGTGCTACAAAAGAAGGATAGCCATGATGTATTAAGTGGCAAACATGAATGGAAAGAGCATACAGTGCCCCTATTTTTTTTTAAAAAACATGAGAGAGACAGACACAGGTAGATGTTGACTAGTGTGTAGAAAACCCAGGTTCAGAGTGGGCGCCAGGCTGTTCACCATGCTTCTTTCTCGGAGGTGGTATTGTGAGGGATTTTGACTTTTGCAACGTTCGATTTTTTGTTTAATGGTGATCATATTTGCTTTTACAATCAGACTAAGTAGTGATGATAATTTAAAATTTTTTACTAGATGAAACTATACAACATAGTCCTAGAGACAAGTCTGTTAAAATACTTTCATTGCATTATAAGTAGAATTTTCTTTAAGGTACACATTTTCATGTTATCTAGAAATAATACTGTAGAGACTTGTATGATATTAGGCCTTTCGGTGTCATGGCTTTGAGTGGGTAGAAATATAAAGGCTCATTGAAGATCCTTTACAGCTTGACTTTAAAATACTGTGTGAGCTTCTCATAATCATTTTCACCTCTTGTATCTACAGCTCCGCAACGGGAGGAATCCTTTAGATCTCATTGCTCCAGGCTCCAGGCTAGAATGTCAAGCTTTCCGGGACTCATTAAGCACTTGGATTGTTACTGTAGTAGAAAACATTGGGGGAAGGCTGAAGCTGCGTTATGAAGGACTTGAAAGTTCTGACAATTTCGAGCATTGGTTGTATTACTTGGACCCGTTTCTTCATCACGTTGGTTGGGCTGCTCAACAGGGATATGAGCTTCAGCCCCCATCAGGTGAAGATGTCTATATAACATTTTTCTTTTAACTGTTACGTTAATGTTATGTTTTTACTAACGTTGTTATGTTTTTACTAACATTGACAAGACTGAAAAATATTATGATACTGTGTATTACAAAAGTGTAATAGACACTTTTAATAGTAGTAATTGCAAAAAAACCCCTCACATATTTAAGTGCCTATTTTTCTTTTGTTTTATTAATTTAGTAATTTGCCACACATCTTGATGTACCTTATGGACTCCTGCCCCAACTCATACTGACCCCTTACCAAAATTGAAGGAAAATTTTCTAGGTAGCATTTAGCTAGGTACAGGAGTAGGATAGGTCTTAGGATAGGTCTTGGTTCAGAGTGAATTGTTAACTAGAAGAAATGACAATGATCTCAAAACCGGAGTTACCGTTTAAAGCAATCTGCACTTCTTATGTGCTTCCCTTGGGGGCTTACGCGATTTTGTGGCCTGCAGCAGTCCCTTCTGATCTTGCTGCGGGGATTTTGCCCAGGCTGACTACCCAGCTCTGAACAGAGGGGACAAAGTCCTGAAGTCAGGGTGCAGGTTGTGTGAGTACAGATTGTGTAAGTGCTCTGGAGCCCTTTCTTTTCCCCATGGAAAGTGACTTTTCTGTTTACACGAATGCTTTCAGAATAGATAGAACGTGTGTACATTCTCCTCACTTAAAATGTCCTGTCTTGTTTTATAAAAGCCATCCGGCATCTGAAGAATGAAGCTGAGTGGCAGGAGATCTTGGCCAAAGTGAAAGAGGAGGAGGAGGAGCCATTACCATCATACTTATTTAAGGTAAAAACAAAACAGGACGGATTGGTGCCCATCTTCTCACAGCAGGGTCCGGCAGTCAGGGGAGGCACAGAGCGGACAGTAACCCAGGGGGTCAGTGAGAATGCTGGGGTGTCTGAAGGAGTAAAGGTTTGAAGGCTGGAGTGTTGGGGATCCTGCTTTTCTTCTAAAAGTAGTCTATGTTTTCTCCCAACATTCTCTAAAACCATTTGAGTCTTTTCTTTTCCAATCTTTTTTTTTTTTTTTTAAAGATTTTATTTATTTATTTGACAGAGAGATCATAAGTGAGCAGAGAGGCAGGCAGAGGGAGGGGGGAAGCAGGCTCCCTGCTGAGTAGAGAGCCCGATGCGGGGCTCAGTCCCCGGACCCAGAGATCATGACCTGGGCCGAAGGCAGAGGCTTAACCCCTGAGCCACCCAGGTACCCCTTCTTTTCCACTCTTAACTACATAGCTCCAACTTGTTATAAAATAAACTTGTTTTCCTCCAGGTGGCTTTTGTGTACCAAATACAGGGAGTAGGAGTACTTCCTGTGTTTTTGTTTCTGAATAATTTTTTCCAGGAAAGAAAATACAGGATTAAATTATTTACCAGGAACTGGACAGTTCTATTTTAATTAATTAAGAGTAGTATTCAGCTATATATGAGTATAAAGTGAATGTGAAAATACTGTATTTTTATTCCCTCTTGGTGTTTGCATTTCAGGACAAACAAATTATTAGCACTCATTCATTCTCTGTAAATATGAAGTTGGAAGCTGTGGACCCCTGGTCTCCTTTTGAGATCTCTCCCGCTACAGTTGTTAAGGTACAAGGGGGACAACTCTCTTCGTATGAATACCTGCAAGGGTGACTTGTTTAGGAAAGTGGTTAGAGTTTTGGTTTTCAGGCTCTGCTACTCTGAGCCATGTTTCTCCTAAGCGAGGCTAGAATGACTTCTGTGCACATCTTGTATTTGTACTCTCCAATTCTCTGTGGCCCATTCCTTCTTCGGACCTGGTTGCTCCAGCCAACCACAGCTTGGGTGCCCGAGTAGTGGGGCGTGGTCTGTGGGGCAGGCCTCGTGGTGCATAACCAGAGGTCACTTATCCAGCAGGCAGGCCTTGGTGTCTGAGAAGTCTGGGCACAGGCAACAGTGTCAGTGTCCACCCAGGTACAGGGCTCAGTGGGTGAGGGGATGTGGGGGTGGGGCAGGTGGTCTGTGTCATGAGCTCTGTCCAGGATTGCTCCAGAATGGAGTCCGGAGCCCAGTCTTTTGGAAGGCTAACAAAAGTAAGGCTCCTATCGGGAGTAAGCACAGGAGCTGGGCAGGTTGTCAGGCCCTGGTAACTCTGTGACTGGCCCGAGGCGTAAGACAAGGGGTTAGTTCAGGATTGGAGCCCACTGACCCAGAGTAGAGCCAGAAGACAGGTGTGACTAGAGGAGTGGTGGCTTGGATGCGGACCTCTTGAGATTGATTGATTGCCTTAGGAGAAGATTATTCTAAGAACAGGGAGGGATTCTGAACCTGCAGTGGGGTCAGAAGGCCCCTTCTGGAGACTGAAGGGCCATGAGGTGGCAAGGAGCTGGAGCGGGTTAATAAAACCTTTTTGGCATTTGAAACTAGGCTAGGACCCAGAAATCCAATGTACAAGTTGTGGTGGACTCCTCACTCAGCCTAAACTAAGTTTTGTTTGGAGCCCAAATTCTTAGATTTGAACCCAGGTTCTGATTCTTTCTTGCTAGGTAAAATGGGGCAAGTTGTTTAACCTCTTTTTAAATCCCATTTTCTTATTTTCAGAATGGGGTTGATAATGGTACCTACCTTATTATGTTGTAAGGAGGATTAAAACTGAGTTAACGCATGAAAAGCATTTAATGAGAAGAGCGCCTGATGTGGTGCGTAGTGTTCTTTACACCCGGTGTGGCTGTGCAGTTTTGTAACATGTTTGGCCCCGCCAAGGAGATGACACACACGTGTCCTTCCATATAAAACCATTGGCCTGTGTTGTCTGTCTGATTGTATGCGCAGGTTTTTGATGAGAAGTACTTCCTGGTGGAAATGGATGATTTGCGACCAGAGAATCATGCCCGGCGATCTTTTGTGTGTCATGCTGACAGTTCTGGTATTTTCCCCGTGCAGTGGAGTCTGAAGAATGGTTTACACATCAGCCCCCCTCCTGGTAAGTAGTTGTTCTGTTCTGAATTGTTCATTACGGGCTTCTTTTTGAGAAGGATTTATCAGATGGCATCACCTGGATCTTTTGTCTCTCTCTCTTTCTCTTCCTTGCCCGAGCCTGTCCTTAACATTTTTGGGTCCCAAGACAAGTACAAATGAAGGCCTTGATTCCATATATTTACATATTTGCAAGTTTTAAGTTAAGCTAAAAAACTATTAAATATTAAGTATGTTCTGTCCTCCGACCTTGACAAATATGTCTTCATAACAGCCTAGGGTTTCATGCGGGTTCCTAGTTTGCTCCCTCCTGTGTCTGTTGTGAGGGCACAGAGGAGTGAGGGGGAGGGCATACAGGGAGTGTCAGGAGCTGGCATACAAGAAAATGCCTCAGGGCCAGAGCTGGAAGGTAGGAGGCACATGACTGTGATTTTTTGGTTTCTGGGCATCCCTCTGGAGTGAGGCTCATCAGACTTCAGAGAAAGGTTTATGATTAAGAGCAGAGAAGTTTATTATTACAGCAGAGAAGCTGTAGATAGGAAAGCAGTAGTAACTCATTTTCCTGGTGTTTGCAAGTTTACAAAATATAATCTTTTTATATATTTTTTAGGATGCTATTTAGAGAGAGCATGTGAGTGGGGGCTGGGGGGAGGGTCAGAGGGAGAGAGAGAATCTCAAGCAGGCTCCATACCCAGTGCAGAGCCCACATGGGGCTTGATCTGACGACCTTGAGATCAAGAGTCAGATGCTTAACTGACTGAGCCACGCAGGCGCCCCTGCAAAATAATAATCATTGGTCCTTTAACCAAGGCTCTTAAATATGACGGTAGTTAACCTTGACTTAAATTTTTAATATTTTTCAGCTGATGATATCTGGACATGTCAAATGTTAATCTGGCTTCTGTATTAGCACATCAAATTATTTAATTGGCAGTCTGTGTATCCTTTATTAGTAGACTTTTGGTGAACACAGCTTCACTTTCTAAATGCTGAATGCTGGAACGCTGGGCTAGAAGTACTCTTCTGCGTTAACAAGAGTCATAAACTCAGACCCTTTTGCTGTTTATTCAGTCTCCATTCATCCAACAAACATTTGTGGAATGTTTGCTATGAGCTAGGCATTGGGCTCCTCTGTGACTGGGGAGACAAAAGTGAGTACGATGGTTCCTTCAAGGAGCAAGTAGGAGAAAACAGTAATGGAGCCTCCCAGGTTCTCTCATCAGTGAACAGAGAGTGGGCGTGCCTGCCTGGAGGTGGTGGCAGGAGGGCACAAGCCTGCAGGAGGAAGTTCTTGCTGTTCTAGAAGGCTCTGGATATCCCAAGTTCTTTATCTTACCTGCTGCCTTTATGTGAAAAGGAAAAGCAATTATTAAAAATATTGGAACTTTCAGCATTGTTACAGACCGCTCATCTGTCTGTAAGTAGGAGGAAAGTAGTAGATGATGTAACTGAAAATGGCAGCTAATGTAGTGTGAGATATAGAGGTGGAGAACAGGAGGGAGAGCATGGTGCCAGTCTAAGTTGGGCAGAGGAGGGATTGCAGGGGCTGTATGTCTGTCAGGTGGTGTAGTGTGGTAGCCCGCTCTGTGCCTGGGAGGTTGTCCACTCCGGGTGGCAGCCAGGGAGCCGGGTCTGAGAGGCTGCTACCAGGAACCTTGGGGGACTGAAGCAGGCAGTTAAGCTGGATCTTGCTGAAATGAATTCGTGATTAAGGTTTTAAGAGCATTGGGATTCTGTAAAACAGGAATCTGAAAACAGTGCTGAGAGCATTGTGTCAGGAGTGGCTAAGATATATGAGGGCATAGCTTTGTGAGAGCAAAAAGATTATTTGGTGTTTCTTCCTTTAGAGCCCGACTTGGAATAGAATAGAGCCTGACTGGATTTATTAGAACAATTCAAATCCAGTCGTAAGTGTCTTAAATTCTTTCGGTAAACTGCCAGCAGCTAATCAAATAAAATAGTGTTGAAAATAAATGCATAGTTTGGAACTAGAAAGTTTTTAAAAAAATGTATCTGAAGAATTTTATTATATTGCTACGGTTTAACCAGAGTTGCTCTGCTTTATAACATGAATGATGCTTTGGATTGTTTTCCCTCCTCCCTAAAATGAGCCAAGTCCTCAACTTAGCAAATGAGAAGTTCTGGGTGGACAGCTGGCAGAATGGAAGAGCCAGGCAGGCACATGTGGTGTGAATCTTTTCTTTTTTGTCCTTCCCTAGGCTACCCAGGCCAGGACTTTGATTGGGCCGACTACCTCAAACAGTGTGGTGCTGAAGCTGCTCCCCAGAGGTGCTTTCCTCCGGTGAGAACCCCGGCCCCTCATCACCGTTCTTATCTGCCCGGCACTGCTGTGCTTCCCGGGCTCACATGGTTCTTACTCAGTCCTCTCACTCAACCCAAATGAGCATCTTGTTGACTATAATAAAATGGTCCAAGGAAAATTCATTTACTGTGGAAGTTAATTTGTTAATTTAATTGGTTTTTAAAGTTTATCAGTTTTTTTTTTATTTAGTTGAAATCATGTGCATTTTTTTAGTTCATAATTATTTTTGGCAGTTCAAAAATATGAAAAAATGTTTAAGTATTAAGTAGAAAGAAATCATTAAGCTTATTTAAAAATACTTCTGTGAAAATATGACATGCATATGGTTTACAACACCAAATAGCAGTCAAGGGCTTACAATATCAAACAACAGCTCCCTGCCCGATCCCTCGCTGTGGTCTCCCTTCCAGGAGTACTCATTCCTGTTGTTCTGATATTTGTACTTAAATCGTTTTCAGAATAGTACACTGTCATCTTTTGAGGCATGAATTTTAGACATGTCTATTGGTTGTATGTTATGGTGAATGAGCACTTAGCTATTTTATATCACCTTTCTCCTCTGTCTTACCCACCTCTTCCTTCTGTTAGAGTTCTGTTACAATGTGGAGTTGAATCTGGATTGAATACTTAACACTATTGTATGCATTTGTATATTATTCACAGTTGAGCACTGCATTATTTTATGATTTTCTTTTATTTGTCCTCAAGTTAATAATTGCCTTGTTTTTAATAACTTTTTTTTTTTTTAAGATTTACTTATTTATTTGAGAGAGAGAGAACATGAGCCAGGGGGAGGGACAGAGGGAGAGAGAGATTGAGTATCCTTAAGCAGAATCCCTGCTGAGTACAGAGCCCGAGGCAGGACTCAATCCCATGACCCTGAGATTGTGGCCTGAGCTGAAATCAGGAGTCAGACGCTTAACCAACTGACCCACCCAGGTGCCCTTTCATAGCTTAATTTTCTTTGTTTCTATTGGTAGTTCTTAGCATATCTTCCAGTAACTTCTTGTAACTATTTCACAAAGGCAGTCACATCTGGAAGTCTGTGATCTCCCCACCAACACACACCTTTATGAAACTTAGAGTATATGAGGAGTGGGGAGACACTAATAACATATGCAAAAGTTCCTTTACCTGACTCTCAGATGGACTTGTAGTGGGTAAATTGAAAGTCAGCTAAGTCAGGGAATCATCCTTTGATGCAACAGTCTATTTTAACGTAAGATGTAATAATATGCATTAATTTGCTGACCTTTTTGGTAAGGCTTTTCCTTTGCATGTAGATTTTCACCAGGGTTGCTAGTGCAGTGAGAACCCTGATACTCTGATGCAACAGGAGTGCAACCTTCTTGTCAGTTTGTGGTTACTTTTCCTTCCTCAATCCTTTCACACTCATCTTTCCCACATCAGTGGTTTTCCAGTGACTGCTTCATTATTCTCAGCAGCAGCTATCATTTTCTGTGGGTGTGTGGTTGCGGAAGGCAGCTGTCTCACTGACAGGAGCCCAGGAGGACCAAGAAAAGGCTGTGCAGCCAGCCACTTCTGCAGGTGTCTGAGGTTCTGCCCTGAGCACCTGCTGCTTTGGCTCCATCCGCCCTGGGGTGGGCCGTGAAGCGAGACGACTGTGAAGATCACCGGCATCTGGGCCAGGGTCTCAGTCCTGTGTTTGGAGCACATGCTCGCAGAGCTGCCCTGTAGCATTTCCCAGAAATCTGTTTGGTCCAACTAGGCCTGTGTGTCTTTTCTAGTTACAGTTATTTCTTTGTATTTTAGGGTAGAAGGGTTAAAGTACAAGATATTCCATAGACACATTCTTTTTTCCTCAAGTCCGTGACCACTTAGATAACCTTGAATTGGAGCTTTGCCATTTCTAATATTTTTCTTCGAGACATCCCTTTAGCAACCTCCATTCTCTCTCTCCCCAGACAGGTTGCTCACTAGGCTTGCGGTGAAATTTTAGTCCTGGGGACTGCCTTTTAGTGTCACTCAAGGGTTTGCCTCTCCCCTTTCTTACGATTTAAGATTCCTGTTCTGTAAGTCTAACCGCCGCCTCTTTCTTGTCACATTCCCTTGTTTGGATGGAGCCCATTTCCCATAGCTTCCTGAAATGAGATGCAAGAGAGGTAAATTTTTATAGACTTTGCATGTTTGAAAATGTCTTCATTCTATTGGAATTTTAGGTCAGAAATTACTTTACCTGAGCATTTTGAAAATATCATTTAATTGTTTTCTACCTTCCAGTGGAACTGTTGAGAAGTTGAAACCTGTCCTTATTCTTGATCTTTCATAGATGATCTGCCTTTTACTCCGTCCCTGGAAGCTTATAGGATCTTTGCCACCACGTTTCCTAGCCAAGCCACAGGTAGCCTGTTGGTCTGTCTTCATTCACTTGCTGGGTTCTCAGTGAACACATTATCTCTAGAGATTTGTTCCTCTCTGTGCTGGGAAATCCTCTTGCATCTCTTCTTTGATTTCCTTCCTTGCATTTTCTCTTTTTTTTCTGGAATTTCTTTTTTTTTTTTTTTTTTTTGTATGTTGGCCCTTTGGATCAGACCTCTACTCTTCTTTTCCTTTTCTCCTGTTTTCTGTTTGTTAATCTTTTTGCTTTACTTGATGAAAAGATTTCCTAAACTTTATCTTTCAACCCTTCTTTAGAGTTTTTAATTTTTATTACCACCTTTTTAATTTTCCCGAACTGTTTTTGGTCTCTGGATATTTATTTTTAATAGCGTACCATTCTTATTTTAAAGATGTGATAGTTTTTCTTATCACTCAGGGGATGTTAATTACTCCTGCCTTTTGGGAAATTTTCCTGTTGCATAAAAAGTTTTCTCCCCTTTGCTTCTTTTGTCTACTTTGGTCCCTAGCTTTCATGTTTTTAGATGTCTGGTAATGCTTGGTGATTTGCTCATATTTAAGAAGTGGGGGGGAACTAAAAGACAAAACCCGGTTGGAAGCTGTGAGCATATGGGTGGGACTTGTCAACCTTGAACTTCTCTTTAGGGTGGGCTCTGGCTGGCCATTTGTCAAGGATGCCTAAATCCGTATTTCTTCTTGGGCTTATCATCTAAATCTGTGTTTCTTCTTGGGCTTGTCATCTAACTGCATATTTCCCCATCTGCCTGGAGGGTAAAGGCAAGGGCCAGACCTCTCAGCATTCTGTGTGCAAAGCCCTGTTTTGGGTACTGTGTGTATGCTCTCAGCAACTCACGTACCCTCCTGTCCTGGGATCTCTTGTCTCTGATCCTCTCTGGAGGATAAATCTCATCTTTTACAGGGGAAGGAATGGGATAGTTGCTCTGGGGTATGGAGTGGAAGAGCCAATGGTATGACCTAAATGGTTCTTAAATATCTTCAGCGAGTCTTTTCACTGGACTGTTTCTTCTCTACCTGCAGTTGCCTGGTACCTGGTGCTGCCTGTTCTTAGCCTGCGTCACTGCCCGCTTACATTCGCCCTTCTGTAGTCTACTGCGTTAGTTCTCGATGCTCTTCTAAATTTTAGCTTATATGTTATTATTGTCTCCTGTTGCATCTGTCCTAGTAGGTTTATGTAAAAAAAAAACAAAAACAAAAACAAAAGAAACCAACACTTTAGTTTTAGTGTGATGTCAGAAGGAAAAGAGAACAATCAAATATGTTTCAATTCTCCACTTTGACCCAGAGGTTGCAAATTTTTCAAACATATATTTTCCCTCATTCATAAGCATTATTTATCCTGACTGCCTTTTAGGACATACATAGAAGGAGGAACCAGGCAGCTTGCTGTGTGATAGAGCCCTGTATGGGAGGAGAAGCAAACCAACAGTGGGTGAGAGCCAGCTGGTTCAGGGCACAGAGCCTTAGGGACTTTATGTTATTGAAAACTCCTAATAACCCAGTGAGGTAAGTGTTCTCAGGGTCATCTGATAGATGAAGAAACTGAGGCAGAAAGCTTGAGCGAGGTCACACAGGTAGCAATAATGCGTGTTTACCCGATCTCAAGACCGTATACTGTTTATAGCACCAAGAGAGACAGACATTTTTGACTTTAAGAAACAAAACAAAGCAAAACAAATGTATAGCTTTGAAGTGCTACTGTAGGGTTAAATGTTACTTATGCCAGGTCTCTGAGATGAGCACGTGAATTAGTACTGAGTATGTGTTTGGATTTGATCATCTATTTTCCAGTCCATTTCTGAGCATGAATTTAAGGAGAATATGAAGCTTGAGGCAGTGAACCCTCTTCTCCCCGAAGAAGTGTGCGTTGCCACCATTACTGCGGTGAGAGGCTCCTACCTGTGGCTCCAGCTGGAGGGTAAGCCATACCCCTGAGAAGCCCTCCTGCGGCCGCTCTTCTCTACCCTGCCTGCCCACCGCTGTGATGTGGCTGTTAGGCTGCAGCAGTTGGCTAAGTAGGGGTCTTGCTCAGACACTCATAATTTGCAGTGCAAGATTCTTTGCTAAAAACTTCTCTTCCTATCCTTGACTTTCAAACTTTAGGAAATGAATGTAAGTAAAAAGTCTTCACTGTAGAGTCTCCTGTTTTCTTGAAGGTGGCGTATGTTTTGATGTAACCAGAATATATGAGCATCAGCATTAACATGTAGCTCACTTAAGAGATGATATTTTGTTTGCCCCTACCCAGTAGAAACAAAAAGTATGTAAAATAGAAGATATATTAAAAGTAATGTTCAGTGATTGGATGGGTTTGTGGATGAAAAGCCTTATGTGAGCACTCAGCACTGCAGTTACTGAAGACAGCTTGAGTTTCTTCCTTACGTCCTACCAAACAGACTTGGTACCTACTCTTTCCAGTTTGTAGAACAGGCATTTAATGCAGATGTCGGCGACTGGATTGAATCCAGACTATTGCACAACCCCTGCTGAGCAACGTCACTTGCTGAGTTGACCTCACTGGTTTGTTCCCAAGGACCAGAACTAATGTTCTCATCGAGTAGAACTGTCACTGTTGCCTTTCGTTTTGCAGTTGTTTCATGGAATTGATTATATTTGTCAACCATCTGAGTGATACTGCTGGTAGTTCCACTTGCTTATTTGCTGTTCTGTAACTAGGGGTCACGCTCTATGCCCACTACCTATTTTCTTTTCCTTTTTTAAAAATTTATTTATTAATTTACTTGAGAGAGAGAGAAAGAGAGACAACATGAGGGAGGGGGAAGGGCAGAGGGACAGGAGAGGGAGAGAGAGAATCTCAAGCAGACTCCCTGCCGAGCACAGAGCCTGATGCGGGGCTTGATCCCAGGACCCTGAGTTCGTGACCTGAGCTGAAACCAGGAGTTGGTTGTTTAACTGACTGAGCCACCCAGGCGCCCCTGTTTTCATATTTGTACCGGTATGCATAGGGGATATTTACTTTTTTTTGCTTAATGTTTGTCACATATGTAAAAGTATGACTTCTGTGTAAAAAGAACTTGCTCAGGAGATTTTGTGTCTGCATTACTGCAACAGTAGAATATTGTCTAGGAAGTACTTTATGAAGAAGGCTGTTTAATGATCTAAAACTTTGTTTTAATCTAAACAGGTTCTAAGAAGCCCATACCGGAATGTATTGTGAGTGTGGAATCCATGGATATATTTCCTTTGGGCTGGTGTGAAACCAATGGCCATCCCCTCAGCGCCCCTCGCCGAGCACGAGGTAGCTGTCTGTGTCTGGCCCAGGGGCTGATCCGTAAATAATGTTGTGTGGCTGCCACCATTAGGATGCATCTGGACAGTTGAGTGAAACAAAGCGGTGCTCTGGCTGTCTCTTCCTCATAGGAAATCTCTTAACGGCGACAAGCGTGGATTATCTTAACAGTTTCTGCAGGGCAGGAATCTGGGTGCTCTGGACCCAAGCCCCTCATGAGCCTGTCTGTACTCAGGGTGTCAGCCAGTGACTGCAGCCATCTCAAGGCCCACAGTGGAGAGGGTCTGCTGCCGTGTAGCGAGTTGCATTCCCTCATGGCTCTGGGCCTGAGGGCCTCAGTTCCTTGCTGGCTGTTGGTGGAAGGCTTCCCTCAGTTTCTGCCATGTGGGCCCTTTTTCATAGGGGAACCCACAACATGGCAGTTGGCTTCCATCCGAGCTAGCCAGGAAGAGAGGAAGAGAGGTTGAGAGAGGTGGAAGCCAGAGTGTTTCTGTAACCTACCTTAAAAGTGTCATCCCACCCCACTCTCCCTTTTAAAAATGGCTTTATTGAAATATAATTTATGTAACAAAAAATTTGATTATAGAATTCAGTGGTTTTTAATATATTCATGGAGTTGTGCAGCTATCACCACAGAACATTTGAAAACATTTGCATTGTCTAAAAAGAAGCCCTGTACCCCTTGGCAGTTGCCTCTTTACCTCCTGCCCCCAGCCCCAGTCACCTACTTCTCTTCTTTCTCCTACTATGTGTGTTTGCCTGTGGGATCATGCAGCAGGTGCTCACGTGTGACGGGCTTTACTCTGCATCACGTCTCCAGAGTGCATCCGTGTGGTGTGTGTGTCGGCACTTCGCTCCTGTGTATTTTTAGTGCCATTGCACTGTAGTGTTAGGCCCCATTTTCTTTTTTTTTTTTTTTTTTTTAGGCCCCATTTTCTTTATCCATGTCTCAGTCGAGGGACATTTGGGTTGTCTCCATTCCTTACTGGTTATGAAGAATGCTGCTGTAACATCTGTGTGCAGGTTTCTATGTGGACATGTGTTTCCATCTCTCGAGTGTAACTCTCTGTTTAACACTTGGAGGAACCGTTAGACTGTTCTGCACGTGTCCATGGGATGAGGACTCCGCTTTCTTCACATCCTCCTGCACTTGTTACTTTCTGAGTTTCTTTTTTTTTTTTTTTTCCAAAGATTTTATTTATTTATTTGACAGAGATCACAAGTTGGCAGAGAGGCAGGCAGAGAGAGGGAGAAGCAGGCTCCCTGCTGAGCAGAGAGCCCCATGCGGGGCTCAATCCCAGGACCCCAGGATCATGACCTGAGCCGAAGGCAGAGGCTTAACCCACTGAGCCACCCAGGCGCCCCGTCTTTCTGAGTTTCTTGTTTGCTTGCTTGGTTTTTGGATTTGTTGCTATTGTTTGTTGGGTGGTTTTTTGTTTGTTTTTTATAATAGTGCTGCTGGTAGGTACAGGGTGGTGTCTTACTGTGGTCCTGGTTTGCGTTTTCCTAGTCCTTAGCTCTGTTGAGCACCTTTTCATATGCTTACTGGGTATTGGTGTATCTTCTTTCAAGAAATGTCTCTTCAGGTCTTTTGCCCATTTTTTTTTACTGGGTTTTTTGTTGTTGTTGCTGAGTTGTAGGATTTTGTTATGTATTCTAGATAATAATGCCTTCCTTATCAGATATGTGATTTGCAAGTATTTTTTCCCATTCTGTGGGGTGCCTTTTCTCTCTCTTGATAGAGTTGTCTGATGCACAGAAGTTTTAGAACTTGATGTAGTCCAATTTGTTTTTTCTTTTGTTGCCTCTGCTTTCGGTGTCATATCTAAGAAATCATTGCCAAATCTGATGTCATGAAGATTTTCCCTTATGGTACCTTCTGAGAGTTTTATAGTTTTAGCCTTTATGTTTAGGCCTTTTAAAAAAATTTGTTTATTTAAAACAATTTTTTGAAGATTCTATTTATTTGACAGAGGGAGAGTGGGGAGGGTTAGAGGGAGAGGGAAAAGCAGGTCCCCTCTGAGCAGGGAGTCTGATATGAGGCTTGATCCCAGGACTCTGGGATCATGACCTGAGCTGAAGACAGATGCTTAACCAACTGAGCCATCCAGGCACCCCTTTAGGTCTTTTGTTAAGCTCTTTTTTTTTTTTTTTTTAGGGGTGGGACAGAGGGAGATAGATAGAGAGAATTTCAAGCAGGCTTAACACCCAGGACAGAGTGCAACTTAGGGCTCTATCTCCTGACCCTGAGATCATCACCTGAGCTGAAACCAAGAGTCAGCCACTTAACCAGCTGAGCCACCCAGGTGTCCCTATGCTTAAGTCTTTGATCTGTTTAGTTAATTTTTGTGTTTTTGTATTAATTTCATTAATGTGAAATTTTCTTTTGAATATCTTTTCCTGTGTGAAAGTATTCATAGGAGTCGATGGATTTAAGAGCCTTGGTCTTTGTGTAAAGACTCCTCCTACCCAGAAAATGTGCCTCAGTCTGGATATTCAGCTATATCAGCACTTAATTCATAGTACTTACTAGTTAAATACACACATGACTGGGCTTTGTATATGTTAATGTTAGCTTAATATATAACCTTTCCTTATTTTTCTTGACATTTATAGTTTTGTTTTCTTCTTGCAGTACACAAACAGAGGAAAATTGCAGTGGTTCAACCAGAAAAACAGTAAGTAATATACTAGTATGTTTGAACAGTTGACATTTGAAAGTTAGAATATCTAGAAAAAGAAATCGCTATTTCAGAGAATGTATCTCATATGTTATTTTCTTGGGTGAAAGCATAATTCTTTAATTCAGCTTTTGCTAGGTTACATACTTTTCCTTACAGCATATGTATTTTCTGAAATGGCCTTATATACAAAGGGGTAAAATGCCTTCTCAAGATGTTCCCACCAGTTGAGTTTTCTTTGGCTTTTAGAGCCTGAAAGCATTTGCATAAGAGAGGAAATAGAATCTCTGTACTGTTATTTGTTAAGGAAGAGCAAAAATTAGAAATTAGGATATGATATGATTTCTCACAATGAAAGAAAAGTTGGGGTGAAAGATAGTGTCTGTAAAAGAGAAGGTGTGCTCAGGGGAACCTTTGTGCTCTGTCAGGACGCCCTCGATGGCGTACCTTCTGACACAGCTTTGAGAAGCACTTAATCAGTGATGTCTTAAAAATACATGTAATGTGTGTTTCTGAACACTGGGTTTTCAAGTCTGTGTTATTTTGCACAAGCTGCCATAACAAAATACTACTGACTCGGTGGCTGAGACAACAGAAATTTATTTTCTCCCAGTTCTGCAGGCTGGGAAGTCCGAAGTCAGAGTGCCAGCCCGATTGGGTTCCTGGCCGGGCTTTCTTCCTGCTGACTGCCAGCTTCTCTCGTCCTTACATGGTAGGGCCAGCTGGCAGAGAGAGCCAGCCCCCCTAGATCAGAGCCACGCCTTTATTTACCTCGCAAGAGCTCAGTCTCCAGATGCAGTCGGAGTGGGGCTTCAGTGAATGGATTCAGTCTGTAGCAAATTCTGTGTGACTTATGGCTGCTTCTGTGGCTGTGTGAGTAGTAGACTGACAGCAGAAGTGGAGCGAGGTGGAGAAGTCCAGGTGGAAAGGTGAGATAGCAATGTCAACATCGGGCCTTGGAGTTCTCCTTGACTTAGTTGTTGAGACAGATCCATGGTTTTATTCAGGAAGTATTCTAAAAAAGACAAGTTAGCCTTTTTCATTGATTGCTACATATAGAATAAGTTTGATTTTTAAAACCTAATTTGTCTTTGATTTTAAAACTGATAGAAGAAGACAGACCCTTATAAGAAATGTTTTTGTTCTTAGACTATTGAGAACGATGAAAAATTTACTTGTGGTTTGAGAATTCCAGAAGGAATTCTATAATTTGTTGCTCACATGAGTGAGAGAAAGTTGATTTGAATATGAAGTAATACAGCACTGTCTACAGACTGTCTGTTGGCTCATTAAACCATGTACATAGTTTTAAAAACCATTGTTAAAAATATAAAAGTGTGATCAGGGAAGCACCTTCTGTTATACAGTTTGCAATCTGCCACATTTGCTTTCTTAGATTTGAAGGAAACTAACCGTCACACTTCACTGACCTTAAGGATTGTCTTACTGTTTTGTTGTGTTATCTTGACCCAGAATACCATCCTCCAGGACTGTCCACGAGGGTCTGAAGAATCAGGAGCTGAACTCCACAGACTCAGGTATAAATAAGTGCATGCAGTCTTGTGGAAAAAAGAACCTTCTGGGTTTTTTAATGGACTGTATCTTAAACAGTACCTCTGATTTATAGGACGTAGCTTCACAGAGGGATCTCTTATGTTTAATAATTATCTTTAGGATGATATTTCTGCCCATTCATAATTATTAACTATTCTCTCCTGATCACTTGTTGGGTGCCAAGGGCTCTGGAGGGGTCAGTATTCTCATCCCTAGTTTAGATGAAGAGCCAGGAGCTTTCCAGGCAGTGTACCTTCTTAAGCTGGATGGTTGACAGGTGGATGTTTATTGTTCTTTAAACACTTTCTGTGATGTACACATTATGTTACATATTTCACAATTTAAAAAAATGAAGCCCTGGAAAAACATTGTCCCAGAGGCAATGCCTGACAAATGAATTAAGAATCCTTGTGGAGGCCAGAGCCCTTGTCAGGGGGTCTCTCCCTGGGACCGCTCTTGGCTCCACCTTTGCTGGTTGCGTGCTCAGCGTCTGGATGTGCACTGTAGCACAGGTTACACATTTGGACGGCATTTAGTAAATTCCTAGAACAGAAAAGAAATCAAAGCTCCGAGAGGCCACACAGCTTTATGAGTAGATGGGTCAAAAAAGTAACTCAGCTCTTTCTCAAGTTCAAAACTCACACTTTCTTCTTTTCCACACACTGCCTTCTCATTGTGTCACTCATGGGTGGAGGATCAGGGCCTTTTCAAAAAGGTGACGACCTTCATCGTAGTAACCAGCCGGCTCTACTGGTTTACTGTCATTTACTTGTATGTCCCTATAGAACTTGTCCCTGTATTTAAAAAGCATGATGACAGTGGCATCACTGTTGTATTCATGACATTAAAAGGAAGGTGTTTAAACTTCCTCTGTTCAACAGGTGATTGGCAGGTAACTGCTAAAGAAGTTCCCTTCTGTTTCTAGTTTTCTAGGAACTTTAGTCATAAACCCATGTTCACTTTGACTGAAGAATTTTTCCTTAGCATTGGATGATCACATGATTTTTCTAAGATTATTAATGTGGTGAATCTCAGTGATAGATTTTTTTCCTACGGTTGAATCCTTCTTACATTGCCAGGATAACTCTTACTTGACCATAATGTTATCTTTTGAGTACCCAGCAGAATAACATTACTAGTAAATATCTTTTTTCAAAATTACCCATTTTTTATTGAGATATAATTGACGCAAAACATATTAGTTTCAGATGTATAACATAGTGATTTGATATTTGTATCTATTGCAAAATGGTCACCACAGTAAGTCTGGTTAACATCTACCACCACATAATTACGTTTTTTTTCTTGTGATGAGAAGATCTGTTCTCTTAGCAATGTTCAGATGTACAGCACAGTAATATTACTGCTATACTCACTGCTGCACAGTACATTCCCAAGACTTACTTAGAACTGGAGGTTTGTATCTTTTGAACCATCTTCATGCATTTCGCCCACTTCCTACCCCTGCCTCCGGCGACCACCAGCCTGTTCTCTGTATCTGTGAGTTGGGGTCTTGTTTTTGTTGTTTAAATCCCACAAATGAGTGAGATCATATGATATTTGTCTTTCTCAGTCTGATTTATTCCACTTAATGAGTGAACTCAGGGTCCATTCATGGTGTCACAAATGACAGGATTTATTTTTTTTAGATGGCTGAACAACATTCCGTTCTTTATCCATCTGTCTGTCCATGGACACTCGGGTTGTTTCCATATCTTGACTATTGTAAATAATGCTGCAGTGAACATGGTGGGGGTGGGCGGCAGATACCCTTTCCAGTTAGTATTTTTGTTCCCTTCAGATAAATTCCCTGTGAAGTGGAATTACTGGATCACAAGGTAGTTCTCTTTTTGACTTTTTGAGGAACCCCCGTACTGTTCAGAGTGGCTGCACCTGTTTGCATTCCCACGGGGTACCAGCGTTCTTTTCTCCACCTCTTCGTCAACACTCACTAATTCCTGCCTTTTTGATAATAGCCATCCTAACAGGTGTGAGGTGATAGCTCATTGTGGTTTTGGTATCAAAACCCTTGGTATCAAAGGGTAAGGTAAATTAAAAACACAAGGCAACTCTTTAATTTTGATGTATTACTGGCTATTCTAATGCCTACTAGAACTGTAGAAGACAGACACTAATGTTTCCCAAGTGACCTCAGCCATGTTCTTTTTGGTTTGTGTTTTGTCACAGTTCTGGTTACCTTGGAAACCGTCTGCGGCTGCTATTTGCATGCAGGAGTGTCACTGGGGTGCGCTTTTGGGGAACAGCTTCAGCGGGGGGCAGGAATTGGGCAGAGGGAGAAGTCGAGTTGCAGTGCTGTTTGTAACAGAAGTTCCTTCCAGCCCACAAGGAAGCCTTTTAGCTGGTGTGGCCACTCAGAGTCATCCCTAGTTGAGGCACAGTGGCCGTACCTTTTTCCCCTCTCTGGGCAGTTATTAGAAGTGGGCTGCAGCTCCCGTCTGCTCACAGAGGGTGCAACCTTGGGCAAGGTGTCTCTCTCCTGTGAGAGGGTCGGGCAAGGCTAATTCCAGGATAACGTACAGCTGAGACCTATAAGCCGCCCATACTGCCAGCAGTGGGGAGCACATGGGCCTTCATCCTGAAGAGTGGGGTCTGGGTGGCGGAGTTGAGATGGAGAAGCGGGCACAGACATGCTGACCTCTGTGCTGAGACTGCATTCTTCATTCCCTAGTGGACATTCCGTGCTTCAGGATCCCATTGGCAGTGGGCAGTGCACACGTTTTCTTTCCCAAAACAGTGTCCAGCAGCAGGGCTTCTTTCTGCTTTCGTGACTATGAATTTCATATATTTATTAGTGGAATTGCCAACTACAATGAGGGAATGAAAAAACATGTTGAAGTATAGCATTCACACAGAAAGAGTTGAAGAGAGGGGTCTGTATGCCCCCGTAACACCCCCTGGTGCTTAAAGTTCTTAGAGATGTGTTTGTAGCTTACTTTCAGCCTTTGGAGGAGTCCCAGATGTGGGAGGATGTCTACCTCATAGTACACTGCTGATGTGCTAGTTTGGTGGTTTTAAGGGGAGAAACTGTAGTTCTGGAAATGATTCATCACCACTGCCTAGAAACATTCCAGAATAGATTATTGAATAGTTGAGCATCAAGAATCATTGAATCATCATGGGTTCTCATGGGGAGCCTGGGCACACAGTCAGGTAAGCATGTGACTCTTTTTTTTTTTTTTTAAGATTTTATTTATTTATTCGACAGAGAGAGAGATAGAGAGGGAACACAAGCCAGGAGAGAGGGAGAAGCAGGCTCCCCGCTGAGCAGGGAGCCTGAAGCGGAGCTTGATCCCAGGACCCTGGAATCCTGACCCGAGCTGAAGGCAGACACTTAACAACTGAGCCACCCAGGTGCCCCAAGCGCATGACTCTTGATTTTGGCTCAGATCACGATCTCAGGGTCATGAGATCATGGGTTATGAAAGCCCATATGGGGCTCTGCGCTGAGCAGGGTGTCTGCCTAAGATTCTCTCTCTCCCTCTTTCTCTGCCCCTCCCCGTTTGCATACGAGCACACGTGCTTGTTCTTTCTTTCTTTTTATTTTTTTTTAAAGAATCATCATGGGTTCCTTCTTTTTTTTAAATTCTTTTTTTAAGAGTGTTTTCTTTTTAAAGATTTTATTTGTTTGAGAGAGAAAGCGCGTGGGTAGCTGGGGGAGGGGCAGAGGGAATCTCAAGCAGACACTGCGCTGAGTGCAGAGCGACCCTGAGATCAGGACCTAAGCCAAAATCATGAGCCCAATGCTCAGCCGACTGAGCCACCTGAGGCTCCCCATCATCTTGGGTTCTTTTTTTTTTTTTTTTTTTAAATATTTTATTTATTTATTTGACACAGAGAGAGAGAGAGATCACAAGTAGGCAGAGCAGCAGGCGTGGTGGGGGGGGGAAGCAGGCTCCCTGTGGAGCAGAGAGCCCGATGCGGGGCTCGATCCCAGGACCCCGAGACATGACCTGAGCTGAAGGCAGTGGCTTAATCCACTGAGCCACCCAGGCGCCCCTCATCTTGGGTTCTTAAAGTCAATCCTTTACTTCCCTTATTGATAGAAGTATGGGACTCTGAAACAGAGTCGTGTTAACCCTGAAGTCAATCTCCATGTAATTCAGGCTGTTGTTTGATTTGGGCAGCGTGATGAGCTCTGTAATAGAGTTGTGGTAAGTCTCAGGTGTTTCAAGGGCACTCTCAGGCAACGTGTTAAACTTCAAAATATGTGATGTATAACTTTATATAATGGTGGCTATGCTTGCCACCCCCACCCCCCAGTAATTCACTTTGGAAACACGGAGTGGAAAATGACTGTTCTGAATATTTGTTTCTCTTCGTTTCCCAGTTATGATTAATGGAAAATACTGCTGTCCAAAGATATATTTCAACCACCGTTGCTTCTCAGGGCCATATCTTAACAAAGGAAGAATCGCTGAGCTGCCTCAGTGTGTAGGGCCTGGGAACTGTGTTCTGGTCCTCAGAGAGGTAAGCTTCTCACCCGGGGCGGACGAACTCACAGCAGTCTCCTAGACTCATCGGTACAAAGATGTGCATGCCTTCGTGTGACAGTGCTAGGTCTTATCAGAAAGGATTCCCTTTCCTCCTGTATTGTTCAATGAACCAGACACGTCCTTACTTTTGCTCCTGAGGGAGCATTCATGTAGGCAGCTCTGCACGTAGCATGCCCACCTCTGCTAGTGGAGAAAGGGCTTTCGTCAGAGGCTGCCTGAGTGTGGTGCGAGGATGAGCGGGAGCATAGTCGAGGAGCCGGAGGCCACGTGGCGCTCACGGGGGCCATGAGAAAGCTGCGCACCTGCCGGGCTTGCCCAGCTGCCCACCAGACTGCCACGCGCTGTGCACACCAGCTGTAAGGACTGTTGGCGCTTTCGGTCCGTGGCGGGGCAGGGCGGGTCTGGGAGGCCAAGCTGCTGTATCTGCCAGGACTTGCAAAGGATTCAGAAGCATATGCCAGAGTCGTTTTTATTTCATGCTGCCTATTTCGTCCTGTGATGTTTTGAATGTCCAAGAGGGTCTGATTATTGTCTTAGCTACCACTTTGGTCAGCAGTTGTATCTTGAATATTATTATTTTGTTAGTACTTGTTAACAAATATTAGATTTAATCTCCTAAATGATATTCTGGGGGGTAACAAGATTCTAATGGTCTGCTTTTCTCATTCCCAACCCATATTTCTGCTTTAAAAATGGAGCGCAGGTCCTCACTTTACTTATCAATGCAGCCTACAAACCCAGTCGCGTCCTTCGGGAGCTGCAGCTGGACAAGGACTCCGTGTGGCATGGATGTGGGGAGGTCCTAAAAGCCAAGTGAGTAGCCTCCTCTGCCCTTTATTCTTAGCCGTCTGACAGGCCACGGAGCCTGATCCTCCATGCGTCGTGTTAGAGTAGTTCTGTCCTCTTGGGCAGTTCTTCAGCTCTTGGGGGTGAGGGACCAGATTCGTTTCGTTTTGTAGGTTTCCATCCTGTTGTGGGCCAGTACTGTTACAAAATATGGTAAGAATGAGTTATAAGAAATACGAAAATTACAAGACATAAAATGCAAGAATAATTTGTTTTTAGATTTAAGAGCCATGAACTCACCTTTGCAAATTACTGTGAAAGGCTATAAACGTGTACTCTTGTTTTCTGACCCTGTCAGCGTGACCGTGGGCAGGTTAACCTGGCCCATGTCCACACTCTGAGGATCACTGCCCAAGGGTAAAGGAAATCCTTCGTTCTAGTCCCTTTTCTTTTAGTAGTTAGTGTAGAAGTTCCTTTTTAGAAACCTTAAACTGAGGAACCAGAAAGCAAGACTCTCATCTGCTAATATAAAAACCTCAACATTTATCTGTTATAGCTTAGGTGATAAATTTGATTTAAGTGCAGTATGCATAAACTCAATTTTAGAATCCTCAAACTATAAAGGATATGTACTATTCTGAGAAGCGAAGACATTTTTCAGGCCTGTGAATGCACTTGATTTTCTCTGGGTAATCACTAGGCCAGTAAACTTGGTCTCTGGCATCTTCCACGGCAGATACAAAGGAAAGAGTTACCGGGCTACTGTTGAGGTAGTGAAGACAGCAGATCGCGTGACAGAGTTCTGCAGGCAAACCTGCATCAAACTGGAGTGCTGTCCGAATCTCTTTGGCCCGAGGATGGTTCTGGACAAGTGTTCTGAGAACTGCTCTGTGCTTACAAAGACCAAATACAGTAAGTCCGGTTTTCCAGATTTGTTAACTCTGATGGCTGGCCACACTTTATATCTTGGAAAGTTTTTATTCTGTAGACATTTCACCTATAACACAGGTATACAAACTGCTTCTGTAAAGGACCAGATAATGAATATTTTAGGTCGTCAGTCAAATGATCTCTGCTGCATATTCTTCTCTGTTTTTTTTTTAAAGATTTTATTTATTTGACAGAGAGACAGCGAGAGAGGGAACACAAGCAGGGGGAAAGGGAGAAACAGGCTTCTTGCTGAGCAGGGAGTCTGACGTGGGGCTCGATCCCAGGACTCTGGGATCATGACCTGAGCTGAAGGCAGACACTTAGTCAATTAAGCCACCCAGGCTTCCCTCTGTTTTGTTTTATTTTCACTTTTAAAGAACACTTTTAAAGATGTAAAAGCCATCTTTAGCTTGAGGGCCATACTGAAACAGGCTATGGGTCAGATTTGGCCCGCAGGCCCATTAACTTTCATGTAAATTAGCTTTTGCATCTGATGGGATATGTGATTCATTCATGCAGTCTCTAAGTATTTATTATGTGGCCACTGTGTGCCACTGCTGTTCTAGTACTGGGATGCTACAGTAAAGAAAAATTCCTGTGCTCATTGGGTTTTCATTTTAATGTGGGGGACAGATAATAAGTGAACAAAGAGAGACAGGTACTATGGAGAAAAATGAGGCAAGATAAGTAAGCAAAGGAGGGGAGTGGGGAGTAAGGAAGGCTAGGATGGGGTGCTGTTCAGAGGTGGTTGGGGAGGTCTTCCTGCCAGGTGACAACCTGAAGGAAGCAAGAGAGCCCACTGTGCAGACATCAGGGTGAACGTGCTCTGGGCAGGGGCAGCAAGAGCACAGCAGGAGCAGGAGTCTGCAAGGAGCAGCAGAGAAGCCGCTGTGGCTGGGAGGCATCAGTGGTAGGAGAAGGGTACTTGCGGGCCTCACTCAGAACTGTCACAGCAACACCCGTTCCCTCTCATTGTTTATTTTCTCCCATGTGAAACTGCCCACTGCGCATGCGCACGCGCACATGCACACATCATACAAGAGGAAATTTCCAGATCAGAGCCTTGTCAAGACATTGTTGCCCAAAGACAAAATTCTGATCCTACCTTTCCTTAAATTTTACAAGCCCCGATGTCACTTGGGAGAATTAATACAGAGGAAGATTTTTACCTTGTTAAATTTAAAGATTTCTTTTAGGGATCTCTAATCCTTTGCCTCTTAAACTTTATCATGCATGCAGACTAGCTAAGGTTCTTGTTAAAATGAAAGTTGTGATTCATCAGGTCTGTGGGTACCTGCTTTTCCAGCAAGCTCCCAGACACTCTTGATGCTGCTGATCTGAAGTCATTTAGCATGATGAGCTTGCTAATCAGTCAGTGTCTGAATTGCAAAATCATAGAAGAGTCTAACCTTGTAATTTCTATTTTTATTTGTTGGATTGTAAACTCCTTAAAGGCAGGGATTGGTGTTAGCTTATAGGGTCAGATTCAGCACTTAGTTTAGCAAATTGCAAGTATTAGTCGCTATGTGAAATATACTCTACATACTGTCTTATCAGTTTGAGCCTGTGGAGGATATGCAGATTTTATTAGCTTTTTGTCTAAATCTATTTTTCTAAGTGATACAAGCCTAGACTTTAGGAGAGAGTGTTTATGATTTTCCTCAGTTAGTAATCTGAGTGATATCAAATGGATTTATATTCTGTATAATCCTTTTTTTTTTAAGATTTTATTTATTTATTTGACAGATCGCAAGTAGGCAGAGAGGCAGGCAGAGAGAGAGAGGAGGAAGCAGGCTCTCCGCGGAGCAGAGAGCCCGATGCGGGGCTGGATCCCAGGACCTTGGGATCATGACCTGAGCCGAAGGCAGAGGCTTAACCCACTGAGCCACCCAGGCACCCCTATAATCCATTTTTTGCAAAAAAAAATTATATTTTGTTTTTATGTTAATATAGAACTAGTATATATATTTAGAGCTAGGATATATATAGTTCATTTTTGGAATTATTTTTATATTCTAAAATTTATATGAAAATGTGCAAGATCTAGAATAGCCAAAACAATCCTGAAAAAGAATAAAGTTGGAGAACTTACTCTGTCTGCCTTCGAGTTTTACCATAAAGGTAGAATAATCAGTAAGTGAGGTGGATGAAATAGTCACACAGAGTGATGGGACAGAAGAGAGGGGCCAGAAATACACCCAAATTTATGTGGTTAAATGATTTTCAATAAAGATGAAGAACTTAACAGTAAAAGGAAGTTCTTTCAACAAATGGCACTGGTACAGTCGGATTTCCAAATCGAAAAAACGAAACCAGAACTCCTTGGCTTCTACCTCACTATATATAAAAATTAATTCAAGGTGTATCTCAGGCCTGAGGTAAAAGCTAAAACTATAAAGCTCCTAGAAGAAAACAAGAAGGGTATCCTCAAGATCTTGGGGCAAGCAAAGATTTCTTAGAAAACAATGCACTAACGTAAAGGAAAAAAATCACCAAAATTAAGAACTTATGCTCAGAGAATTTCTGTCCAGTGTAGTAAATACTCCCTCAACTCCGTAATAAGGGAAACTTGGAAGCAAGAGAAAGCTGATAGTTGTACAACATTGTGAATATGCTGAACACCACTGAATGGTACATGGAAAATGGTTAATTGTATGTTATGGGGACTTTTACCTCAATTTTTAAAAATTTAAAATTAAAAGGAAAATGTTCTAGAATTAGTTATGATTGTTGTAGACATCATATACTAAAAGTCATGGGATATGTACACTTTAAAATGGTAGATTTTATATTATGAATTATATCTCAAAGTAGAAAGAGAAAACCATTTTAAAAATGAATAAAAGACTTGAATAGGCACTTCACAAAAAAGATACATATGTGGCCAATAAGCACATGAAAACGTGCTCAGTATCATTAGTCATCAGGGAAATGCAGATCTAAACTATAATGAGAAATTACTACGTATCCACTAAATTGGCTAAAATGAAGAACGTGAACAGTCCCACAAGCTGGCAAAGGTGTCAACAACTAGATCTCTCACACAGTGCTGGTGGGAGTGTCAAATTATGCAACCCTTTAAGAAAACTCTTTGGCAGTTTCTTTAAAAGTTAATCTACATCTGACGTATGATCCAGCAATTCCATCCCCAGGTATCTACCCAAGGAAAATGAAAATATCCACCCTAAAAGCCTCGGACAAGAGTGTTCATTGCCAAATAGTAACAGCCAGAACCTGGGAACAGCCCAGGTGCCTGTCAACAGGAGACTAAACTAGTATATTCTTCACAATGAGATGCTTGCTGTTCATCAGTAGAAGGGACTGAAGTATTCATACACACAGCAGCAGAGGTGAAACTCAGAATCATACTGAGTGAAAGAAACCTTGTCCAAAAAGCA